AATGTCTTTATGTAGCAAATATGTTTGTTAATAGTATTCACTTAACATTGACTTAATTTCATTTCAATAAATTTTGTGTTTGTGTTTTGCTACACCACTTATTAAATTGCAACCAATGAGAATCTATATAAAAAAAAAAGGTGTTTTGTCTGTACATTGCTCAGAATCATTCATTTGTAGGTTATTTTTACGTTTTATACATTAAAGAAGCCGAAACAAGTCTCATCTAAATTTCTGTCTGTCTGTCTTCCTGTAACACTCAAGATGACATTTTACGCAATCTTCTCCAGGAAAACGAGAGTACCTATCAAGATCCAAGTCATTTTAATGTATTCACTGGATTGGCGATAGTGTCTTTAGCCATTAAAATATGGCCTCACTACTTAGTAAATAATATTACGGACTTTAAAAAATGCAGTTTTGTGCGATTTTTGTCGTGTTTTCGTCCAATTTTTATCACATAATGATCTATGAAATAACGAACAGCTGTTCGGATCAAGATTATTTTTTCTCGCTGTCACTGATATGTTTACAAATACCACAACCATTTCCGATCACGTTTTGAAGGCAAAGCCCATTTATCCAAGTGAGATTAAAATCGTTGTCTTACATAACGGATTTAATTAATCGCAAGTGGAATAATATAGTGAAACCGTAAATGAAATTTAATAACATCATCCAGGTTAGGAACCAGAGATTCTTTGTGTATAAAATTGTTCTTGAGTTTTGATAACCTTGAATCAGTGTTGTATAGGGCTGGGAAACTTTTTTTATAAGGTTGTTTTTTTTTCAAACTGAATAAGTTTACATTAAAAGTTGTTTACGAATAAAGCAATGGGAAATAATTTTGATTGCCGATAACTTTTCACGAGAAAATCCAAAACCAAGAAATCAATAACCTTGGGACTTGATTAACGCATTTAATTTGTCGGACGTAATTCTTAACTGTAAACGTTGGTTTTTGGTACTGGTTTTTTTCCTTAGAACCGTTGGCAGCAGCAAGAATCATTTTTACGTACCAACACATCACTGTAATTTACAAATTAGTTATCGTTGGTGTTGCACCTTATTTATACAGTGGTATTACAGCCTTATTCAATTTAATTGATGCCTTAACTGTATAAGTTTTGCTTTTTCTGTCTGGATTCCAAAATGTTAGTTTATGCTAAGAAAATGATAACTCATTTAAGTAAAACATTTGTTTAGCAAACCATCATGAATTGTTTACGATTTACGTTGTTTATGTATCAATAGTTCGTGGCCTATTTTGGTAATTTTTATTATAGGTTAAATTACCATTACCAATCTAAATTGTCTATAGTACTTCATTTTATAAAGTAAGCCGTCATTTCGACAGCATTTCGGGTCATCTTCGGTCCAAGCAAATATAAATTGTTATGATAAAATTTGATGACATTGACAAAGATTTCAAATTCTAATTTTATATGTACTTTGTTATGCTTAAAACGTAGCAAATTCCCTAATTAAGTTCTGTATTTTTGTGTGTATGTCTGTTGGTAACGCATTTATGTCCTTATTTCTCAGTGTCACGAAAAGGACAAGAGCACCTTGATAATGAAAATGTCAACCCGAATAAAGTGTTAAATGGTAAGGTTGAGGTAGTACTTTAAATGCCTTTAACCATTGTGGGAAGTAACTTTCAACTATAGGCCTTAGGGCTATGCCTCATAGATTTGTTTTGGCTTGAAACTGTCAGATACTGTATTTGCGAAGGTTTATATATAATAGTTTTGCAAGCATATCTGAAAATATGCAAACCAACTGCTTTTCTTAATATAAGAAGGTTTCAACTGACTACTTTAAGATCCCCGTGCGTAGAACGGGCACACAGCTAGTATCATATAAATAAGTTGCACACAGGGTTCTTTTGTTTCCCCAACTCTAAAATACAACGCACATGAATTGAAAATGTTATAGGTTTAATAGTACTGTAGCGAATCGAATATCAATAAAGTTAACGTATAACAATAAATTTACATATTCCTAGATTATAATTGAATGTGTTTACGAAGGAACACCACAACCTCAAAATTCAACATTACAGTATATTTACTCAAGATTTATTGTTTTCATATAGCACAGTTGATGTTGCCAACTAGCGTGGGAGCGGAAGTCCTGATAAAGGCTGGTTCTCGGAAAAGTAATAAAATAATAAAATTGTAGTTTGAATGAAACATTTTTTTATATTTTGTACAGGATTCATGGGATCCTCAGCATCAAGTACAAACTGCAAAATGTGTGTCGAAGGTCTGATTAGACCTTCCGAGATTTAGACCTTCAGCAACTGATCCGTTTTTTACCTTACTTTAATTTATTCTTTTTCATGTTGTGCTTCATGTAACATACATAGACTAGAGGGCCGCTCATGCCCTTGACAAATAAATTAAAATTTTCGCACTAATACAAATCAATATCGTCATTAGACAAGAATTAAAACATAAAATTTATAAACAAAACCTACCACGGCATATTCTTGAACCAGTATGCCTACAAACCTACGATAAGCATGTTTGTTATTATTATACTTAACCTACAAATGCTATGACTTAGGGCATACCTGTTTTCCTACATAAAACATGCGAACTAATTGCGAGTGCGACGTGAACTTAGAAAAAGACTAGTAAGAATTTACAACTGTGAATTTCTCAGAATTGATTGACAGTTCAGATGAACCTACGGCCACAGACTACGGAAACCTACAGTATTATTGTATTAGTATACTGTATTTGTATTATTGTGTTACTAGCAGAGTACCCGTCCTTCGTACGGGGTTTACATATAAGTATAAATGCTTATTGCAGTTATGGAAGAGGACACGATTTAAAAAAAAAAAAAAAACTGGTCTCTTAATTTATACGGTATCCTATTGTGTAGCACACATCTACCATAGTCCTGATGTTCTTGCACCTAGACCATGGAAAAAGTAAAGTTCTCATTGTGTACCACAACTTTTTTTGCTAGTTGGTTCAAATTAGCTGTGGTCATTAATGCAAACAAACAACATAATAGTGCTGCACCCTGTTTGGCAAGCCTTATAACTTTTTAATGCTGTTTAATATCATAGAACCAACTTGTACAGTTGAAACGGCTGACAAAATTCTTTAATTTTTTTAAATATGAATTCTCATAAGGTTAACATGAGAAAGTCCAGAGCTAGAGCCACTGGGGCGGAGACTGAAAGAATTTTTGAGGTAAGAATATGTTAATCGGGGATGTCATCTATCATCATACCAAAGTTCAACCTTGTCGGTTTAGTATTTTTCGCGTTTGCTTGTCACAAACATCCATCCATCCATCCATACATCCATGGTTTGCACTGTAAACAAAAAGCTATCACAATAGTTCCATACCGACAAATAGGAAAAATAGGAAAATATAAATAAATATGGTAAAAGGGTAATTTTCTAACATATTTTAGTGAAATTATATAATCAGGCAAATGGAAATTCAGTCTACAGATTTGCTGTGGCAGGGGGATTATATTACGGTTTACACAAAAATAAATCAAAACATAAACCTCATAACACTCAGGAAAAGGGCCTAGGTTGATAGGGCAATGATTATAGAATCTTAATTATTTCCTATATCCATGATGAATGATTTCTTTTAAAACGAATTATTCCCACTGTTTCACAGGAAACATTTTTAACCTTAACCATTGTAGTAACATCATTATAGCTTAAAAAGTTGATAGTGTACATAATATTTAGCACATTTGACGGATACAACTTTTTTGAATTCGTCATATTATAAGTGTATGAAAATTCATATATCTGTGTATCAATATCTACTTATCTCATTTCTGTTCAATGGAAGTTATACAATTTCAATGATACCGGTACTTAAATGGGAAGTCTTACAGCTGTTATAAAACTGTGCATACATTTTATCTTACGAGTAAATTTGCTACCAATTGATATAGTATGACAATTCGTTCTACTGCAGTACTTAGAATTCTACCACTACTCACATTAAAACCAACCATATTTACTTTTGGGCTAGCGATTAATTTATTGTATTAATCATACAATATAGTGAATAGTGTAGGTAGTCATTTATTTATTTCGTTTCTATGACATAGCTCTATTTTGTAGAAATCAATTATGCAATCATAACAACAGAAATACTGCATCATTACATTTTACGGTGACATAGTATTTATTTTACATATAAAAAATTTAAGCTAATGCAATAATTAGTTCAATTAGAACCATTGAATATTGAATAATTTAAACATTAATCGAAGACGAAGCGGTTGACAACTTTCAAACAGTTGACTAGGACTAGTTGCCTTCAATAATTGCAATGCGAACTGTATGCACTGAGGTCGGCAAACAGTGTTCACAGTGTGCAGGCACTTTGGACGTCGTGGCACTTGGACGTCGTGCAACAGTCAAATATTGATTGGACGTCGTGGCACTTGGACGTCGTGCAACTGGCAGAGGCTTTGGACGTGGTGCAAATGATACGTCTTTACAATTATATAGTGCGCTGTTTCACGACGTCCAAGTGCCACGACGTCCAAAGCTTGTAGAAAGACTATATTTTTGGCAGTTACTGTACTTTTGGACGTCGTGACACTTGGACGTCGTGCAACAACTCAAAAATTATGTTTTGGACGTCGTGGCACTAGAAAAATATTATTGGACGTCGTGGCACTTGGACGTCGTGCAACACTCCCATCTATAAGACTATCAAGAACGACGTAAACCTTTGTAGCTTTAAATACGTCAATCAGCCAATCAGCAGATTCCTAAAATTTAATCACTACCTTGAAACTAATGACAACCCACTGCGGGCCTCGTTTTGCCAATGTTTACATCCTTCTACAATTACCCTATACCTATACCATACTGATTTAGGGGTGGACAGTAAAGACTTTAGAGAGCCTTTGTTTTTTTGTTTTTAAATAAGTGTTTATAACACAGGCCTAGACTCAAGGTTTAGTCAGTTAAAGCTGGAATTTGAATTCTATTAGGTTTTCTTTTTATTCAATTAAACTTGAATTGAGGATTAACTTAAATACAGCTAACCCATTTTCTATATACATTAAAAACTATGGATAGAAGTATTTTATTTTAAATTTTAGCTATTATAATACAAAAATGATAAAGGTTGCATAAATATACCAACAGAACTATGGGGTGGAAAAATTAATACATGGTAGACCTCTTTGACCTTTTAACATCTCTCTTCCTATGTATTTGTCTATCAGTTGCAAATTCCTCTTCTTTTTTCTTCCCGAAACATCGTCCAAATTCTTCAGCAAAAAAAGTGAAAAAGTTTAAATATTCCATTGGAAGTAATCGCTTCCGTTTTCCTATTTGGAAGTAGTGAGTGAACATCACAAAGAAAATTACTTTAAAAAATAACGCCATTACACATAGTACAAAGGCGATCAGTTTAGTTCGATCGTGGAAATCTCGTTTGTATATACAGTTGTACATTTTGTAGTGTAGAATATTCACACGGCTGTTGTAAAAAACTTTTCCGTCAATGGAGTAACCAATCATTCTCCAGACTAAATAAAAGTAATACAACAAGAAAATCAACAAAATGACAATCCATTGTAAAGAAAACACGAACGTGTGGTAATAGTAGAAGTAGTTCTCACCGAAATGCCAGCTCACAAACAACCGGAACACCAACAAACAGAAGAGTATCCACAAAAGTGCCTTGGTGTACCGAAAATACTTGATCATATCTTCAAAATTGAAGAACAAATCTAGCCCTTCCCTGTAGAATTCCTCTACATAAATAGTAGAAACTTTCGTATGAATCAGATAAAATATTACACTTAGCACTCCAACAGCCACAACTAGTACTTCATAAATGTTTAGAAAATTCCTGAAAAAATTGAACAATCCATTTCTGTTCATTTTGTAAGCGATTCGTAAGGCCAAAGCAGCAATGAAGACTATGTAAATTAAGTTCCAAACACTGAAATCTTCTTTTGTGTGTACTGAATCCACCTGGAAGTAATAAAAAACATTTTTAGTAAATCTCTACTTCTAAATAATAAATAAATAAATTATTTACTTGTAGGTATAGTAAGTATAACAGCTATAACTTCTTTACATTTCAATGAATTATGGCTCTGTATACAAACATAAATCTGGAAATATGTTAAAGATTGAGCGCGTTCTGGGAACATGTACCGGTGCAAAAAATGTGTCGTTCTGGGAGACCGGTGAGTTAACCTAGCAGACAGCTATTTCCTCTTTTTCCTCCACCGGTGCAAGATTTATGCACCGGAGAAATTGTACGGTGCATAATACCGGTGGCCTCTGATTCGTCAGTTTCTTTGACAACAGCTTGCAGTTACGGCAAGATGGCGGGTCCACCGAATAATGTTCATTAGTTTTATAGGTTATGTTGCGTAATGAGTGAACCATTTGTTCAATGAGGGGGTTATATTACGTAATAAATAATAATTTTCAAATAATTTATTCCGTGAGGGCAAGTCTGTTTGATTTAAATATTATAAAGCAAATAGTAGGTGAATGTGTAAATTATAATCCGATGTGTACCGTAAACCGGTGACTAACCGTTCTGGGATACCAAGAATCTTGCCCCGGGGCAGCACCGGTGAGTAAGTCACCGGTTAATCTGCACCGGTGCACTGGTACATGTTCCCAGAACGCGCCCATTCTCTCTACGCCCCTAGGGCGACATCAACAGCTGTCCAAAATGTTACCACTAATGATTATTATAAATGTTATTACTATGCCATCTGTGATGGCCTAATGATGGTAAACATTCAATCAAGAAACAAAATATTAATTTGTAAAACCTATTTTTTTCAACATTTGAACGGAATTATGGTAATAGAGAATATACCATTTTTCTTTTATAATCAGAGGTGATAGGGTAGCTGTTTTGAACAATAGCTTTGAATGGCTCTTGAACCTAGGTCCATCATCCAATCCAAAGCATCGGTAACACTACTAGTGATTTAACTATTTACTTTTTTTACCCGAAATTGTTTTCTTTCCACTCTTTTGATCACCAAGCATCACATTAGTTTGTCTTAGAATCGTCTGAGTAGCCAAGTGGTTAATACTCGCCTTTAAATCTAAAGGTTGTTGGTTCGATCCTAAGTGTAGTCAATTCTGGTTTCTGATGCCTCATTGGCTAATCAATGATGATATCTAACTAAATTCAAGTAAAGTAGGTAGTAAAACAATCAGAGTTTTTGCAGTTCTATTACAAAAATTTTATGAATATCATTGGCGTGAAAACACAAAACATTCTTAATATTCCACTGTGTGAGCAAGCTGGTCAAGTGGAAGAGTTCGAGACTTCGGTCCCCGAGCTCCCAGGTTCAAATCCCATCAGTCATCAATGGATATTATCTAAGTAAAAAATGCCGCAACCTCTAGGTCCAGCCTGAAGTAATGTAAAAAAACAATTTCGGGCTACAGCTAAAAAATATTACACTGTCACTTACGTTCGCAAGCGTCATGAAGAGCCCAGAGGTCATGTGTTCTATGATCGCCGTAACTTGACTGAACAAGTTGTTGTTTACATTGTACAGCGTCAGCTCAAGAAACACGGCTCTTGTACGATGATCGACCCAATGTTCCTGCTCCACTTGGATTGCGTATGATTTGCTCTGATCTCTCTTGACGGCAAGAGGTAGAATGTACCCTCCGGAGGGATAGACAACTCCCGATTTCCCTATAAAAATATTTATTATTTATTATTAAATATATTTTTTTTAGTCAGCAACTCTCAAAGTAAATTGTATGTGTGAAGATATAGGCAACGTAGATAATGAACAGTTTAAATATGGTACTCAAAAGCTTTGATTTAATTGTGAAATAATTTTAAACTACTAAGTAATCTTAAGAAGTTCTTGGATTTTGTTTATAATTTGTAAAACTACAGCATTTTGTCCAGTAAATGTAAATTGACTCAACAAAAGTGTGCATTTTTCAACCAAACAAACATTTTTCACTGGAAAACATACGTATACAAAAATAAAATTGAATTTTGAAATCACATTTAAAGGATTACAGAATTTTTTCAATCAAGGTAGTGGCAACCAAACGGATGTGCTAATCATTGTGGTATGATGCTGTTTTAAATCGAAATATGACCAACCCATGACATAATCCACTTGATATGTAAGTATGCACGTGATTATATTTGTGATAATGAATCTCATTCCCATTCTTAGAAAACGTTTTTTTACTGTTAACAGTTTCAAGAACTACCTATACCAAAAAACTGACTAAAACATTAACCACTATTTTGACACATCATTGTGCTTGAACCATAGTTCTTTCTATCCTCATAATTATTTACTGACAAGTACTAGACTCGCCAGTTTCAACCTAGAGTAGTATTTAAAGTCATATAAAAGATGTAGGTAATCTATTTCATTACAAATCAAATTGACACTCGGCTAAGGAATAAGCGAATATACAACGTGAAAACTGTACAGTCTGTACAGATATGGATTGATTCTTTGACACAAGCCTTCCAAAATTTCCTTTCAGTAATACAAACTACTTTAAACAAATTTCAAATTTGAAAAATTGTAGGTCTAGCTTTTATCGGTTAGGTTAGCAAACGTCAAAGTGACCATACCAGATAATGGAAACACAGAGGTGTTCTTGGGCTCCTGATACATCCAGTAGGTCCGGTAACCCCAAGCATACGCAATCTCGTCGTCAAAGTCCGCCTTCTTCCATTGGACACCGTAAGTGTCAGTGTCCATGTAGCCCTCACTCCACGGTCGGATGCAATCCTGCACAGCGACTACCATAACGTGATGTACTGCGCAGGAACCTGGCAGACAATTCAACTAGAGTCAATATTTTTGTAAATTAACTCAACAATGATGCAAAGAATTACATCAAACATTGCAGTTAAATGTCGACTCAAGTCCTGATAACCACTGTTGCAAAGTAATCGTCTGCTATTGGAGTGTCAATACGACCTAAGAAACGTCTAGGATATGCTCATCATTATCATTTGAGATCGGACTCCACCTAGGTGTGTATTTTAAACCAAATATGAACGAAGGATGAGTGTAGAATGGAGTGAGATGGCTTGTGTAGCTTTGTTACTGACTAAGACCAGATGTTTCATTAGTCAGGATAATTTATTGAAAGCCCAATGATCTGGGACAGCTGGACAGTTTCAAACCATCAAAAAGCTACACACTTCTATCAGCAGAAACGTGTAATGGCCAATATCAGAAGTAGGTAGCTTGCAGTTGGTACAAGGTTTGGGCTTTCTCAAACCTATAATCAATGGTGTATCTCCTAGAAATCCAAGTTGGGGCTGGCTTCCGTTTCATGTGACTGAATCTGAAACTAAGAGAGACATACAGTAAACGATTTCTCTACTCTAAAAAATACAACCACTCGATTTGCTTTCTGTTAAATACATTTTTTAAGAAGCTTTAAAAAAAAAATATTCTTGGCACAAGTGTGCAATGATTCCCTAACTGATCCAATTTTGAAATACCAATACCTCAGCAGCTTATCTTAGTTGAGATACAATCTGAAAATTACAGTGAATACTTTTTATTATTTTTGCTATGGGACAGTTAAATAAATTATCTAGCAACCAAGCAATATAATTTAACTTACTGGCAACAATTCGTAACTGCCTTAGTCGTGGAGCTCCCACCATTTTGGATACAAAATCCTTTGTCCAGTCTTTTCTTTCAGGAGCGTCTGTAGTACATAACATCAAGTAAAGTGAAATTTAGTTTGTTTTATTATCCATACAAGTCTAGTTATTATTAGTTAATTTGAACAGAACGTTCAATGAATGAGACAATGACAGTTTCCATTAAGCTTTTGACAGTTAACACTGACTAATACAGTAGTTATAATAACAGTCATATGAAGAACAGCATGTATGTTTTTGTTTTATTTAAGGTTATTTCCATCAAGAGTTTGTTCTCTTCATTTCTAGGAGTAGATTATTTTGATGCAGCACCCAAGGATTTTAAATATTTATTATGTTTCATTTTAAGGAAAACACGTTTACCTAACAATAACAATGAAGTGCAAAGCAAAAAAGCTTTTTGGGAGCTAATAAGATTATTTTGTCTGCTTATACTATTTATTTTAACAAAGTGTATTTTGTGGTAGGAGAACTTGTGAAAAAATAACCTTCTACGTGTGTTTCATTTTCTTGTACAATAAAATGCAGTTCAACTTGTATTCATTGTCAAAAAAGGATTGAATAAAGGAATACAATTTGTATTCTATCGTAAAACAAATGTAATTCAATGTTTAACCAAAAAGAGCTCATAGACTTTCTCAGTTGAAACACTTACGTCAAAAATTAATAAACATGAATAAAAAAAATTGTGCACTATACCTGAAGGACTTAGTGTTTGGAAATTTAAATCATTAAACCATCTAAAAACAAACAAGGACCGCACAAAAGTGTTCTGTAGGTAGGTAAAGAATCTGTAAAAAAAATAATGTATTAAGCCCTAAAGTATTTTAATTAATACCCTCTTAAAACAAAACAGTGTTTTGCCCTTCATGGGGAGGGGGTATGTCCGTGGAAATGACCGAAACACACTATTTTGAACATTTACTGGAAAAAGAAAGCAGGCAAAAATTCAGCCTTACATATACCCGTCAAAGGAGTTGGGGAGTTTGTTGTAAACTGCTCGTTACAGAAATAAAAACAGTTCAAGATCGATAAATTTCCACGGAAGCACCTAAACAGTTTAAGACCTACTCTTTTTCCTAAAAGTGCTATTTGTGGACATACAATTAAAATGTAAATTATTGGCCGTAAGGTCGTATTAACAATTAAATAATTTTTTTTTTATATTATTGAAAGAGTTGGATCATATCATAGATTTACTTTTATCCCTTAATTTTCATTATTTATTAGTTTTCCTAAATAAAAATGTTAGTTAAAAAAAAAAAAAAAAAAACTGATGCACCTCCAAACTCCAAGATATTTTAGCATCTGAATGAATATGGATCATCATAGATTAAATATACATAAAATAACACACAAAACACAGGATTTCAAATCAACAATGAAAGAAACTTGAGTGAAAATTTCCCGTAATTTTCAACTAACACCATTTTACTTACTGTGTCCGATTGTAAACATCCTGCAGTGCGACAAATCGGCCGTTATATTTGGTCATCATCATCTCAGCAGCATGAGAGTTAGGATGGAAGTGCGCTCCGCTCCACAGAATTTTCATAATGTAGCACAGAATCAATATAAACGTCAGCACGGCGAGAAAATCTAAAATGATTCTCCACTTCATTTTCCTCATGGTCTTTCTTCTTTTTTTCTAAAAAAATTAATTGTCTTGGGTTCATTTGCATAAAATTTTTTACAGCTTCCGAAACAAAACATACGTAACTAGGCTGTATGCTTTTACTTTCACAGTAAAAATTAAGGATTTCTGTCCCTGTAGTTTTTGTTCTAAATATTCGTACCATAGAGGGGTTGTTCATATCCTAATGTTCCCCAAAGAGCTCACATAAAGATGATAGGTGTTAAAGGAAACAAATCAATAATGATTTCAAGGAGAAGATTCAGTTGACAATTACATATTCTAAAATTAAACCCCAGAAGATACTACCGGTATGCATTAAGTTGCTTCAATTGTATTTTTCTTTACACTAATGTACTGTATTATAATCTTTTCATATTTTGTACCAACCAATTTAAGTTATGTTTGATTTTAATTAATGGTGCTTACCTGTATATATGGTAATTTAAAATAAAATTATTGAATTTTTTTTAAACACCATCTACTTACAGCTTTAACTTCATCTGTCATGGGGTAGTATATACTCTTTGTTCGGTACTCTATTAAATTATCCAAGTATTTTTTATCTCCAACGAGGTCACATTTAACTGCCTTGTTGACATCAAGTTTGAACGCAGAAATGTCAGTTGTTCTCTAAAGAAGAAAACAATAAAATATTAGTCAAAATTTGTTCTTGGTTCACAGATTTCACTAGTAATTTATTTCATCTCACTTGGTTTACAGACATACTTCATTTGAAAACCTGCTGCACACTTAGGCTAAAAGGGTAAAGTGTACAACAACAAACTACCAAGAAGGCAGTAGAATTAGGTATGCTAAACAATATTTTATAGTAATGTGAAGTAAAACTATTTACAAATAAAAAAATTCTTTAAACTGTGATTTTACCCTTAAATATGCTTCTACTTTAAAACATGCTTCATGGATTATTTCCTTTAAAAAGTAAAATTCAATGTATCAATCAACCCTTGTTTTGATTAACACAAATAAATTATTAGATTAAAAATGAGGCCTGTCATTAATATTTAAATTACATTCGTTAAACTTGTACACAATTTGCACGCGTAATTAATTAAATGGTACCATGACCGTTTTCGAACCATATTCTTACACAATATAGAAATAAATCTAATGTCACTGTCAAACATACAAATCCTCTCACCTCAAATGCAGCTGATAATAATAAGGCAAGTATCAGTATTTTCAGCGGAGAAAAGATGAAAATATCTTGAGCTTGTGCTGCCACCAGGCTGCTTAACCATTTTAAGCTTTTTACTTTCCCAAACTTAAGACTGTATAGCATAACAAGATATGCACATATAATAATCACTAGAATTGAAAATACCCTGAAAGAAATTACCGAATATTAGTTGAATAGGTGTTTACCTAAAGATATCCTTTTATTGAGTGAATGAATGAAGAAATACACTGTATATTGGGGAGGGAAGATTAGTTAGCTCCCTGCTTGTTAAAATATCTTTGTAATGAAACCGATTTAAAAAACAAAATACCCCCACCACAGCAAACCTGAAGACTAAGCGAATTTCAATTTGCCTGATTGAATTTACTCTAAAATATCTCCTAAAAAGTACCACATTTATTCCCTATTTAAATAGCTTTAGTTTAACGAGTACTTAGGTTTGCTGCAACAGGGAGGGTAGGTGTTTTTTTTTTGTAAAATGTTAATAGTTTAGTATGAAATGAATTTTTTTGCATTTAAATGCTTGCAAATTTGATGAAAATATGCTCATAAACAAGCAAATTTTAACAGTTTACAATTTTTTCTATAAGATAAAGTTGAAATATTAAATTACAAATTTTTTTGGAATTTTCACCGTAGCCATTAGGCGCATAATAATGCTGCAATATAATTTTTTTTTTATAAGCTATACAAACAAATGGTTTGGAAAGAAGTTGCTAAATTTTATGTTATTATGGTTAAAAATAAGAAAAACCAAATTTTCCCCCTAAAATAATAATTTTTTTCCCTTATAGTCCAATCATGCTTGTTTGCGAACTCATTAGAATTGAAGGTTTACACGTTAGTACCAAATTTCATAAAAATCGGATTTTTTCTTTCTCGAGTTATCAAGCTAAAAAAACACTGAACGGACTGAAACCAGAATTTGTAGACATTAGGGCACCGAAAAGCCATGGATTTTAAATAAAATCATCCTTAATATATCAACTGATGACAAATTTTAAGGTGTTTTATGAGGTAAAAATAGAGTGTGTTGTCTTATATTTATTTTTTGTTATTTCGCTATCTATTCATTACGATTTAATATATCTATTTAAAATCTAATGCTTGTTTTTAGTTATACAAAAATAAGAGACAAACATTTAGTGAAGAATGATGCCTTCTATTTTAACCAAATTAACATAAAACCAAGCTTCTGGTTTGAATATAAACAAAATTCTACTTGCAGTATCCAAGTAAAAAAACATAAATAACTAACCATGCCGCTATCAACCATCCTTTGTTCACTTTTATTTCCGAGCCTTCAGTAGCTAAATGAACAGGGCGAAGAGTCTTGTGATGAGTACAGTTTCTGATGGCTGCGATGAATGATTCATACATAGTCATATCTGGTGGAAAACAGGATCAATGTGGCAGTAAAAATATAAAATATTCTCTTGTGCTATTTTTTTTAGAAATGAATCAACCTGTTAACCCTTTGAGGTTGAATTTTTTTTCTTTTTTGGTGAGTATGTGACCATTCGAGGAGGAGAGAAACTGGCGGCGGCGACCTATACTCACCGTTCAACCGCAAAGGTCAACTATTTTTATTTTAGATTTTTTTTTTTTAATGGCGAGTATAGGTTGCCGCCGGCGGTGACCTATACTCGCCATTCAACCGCAAAGGTCAACTATTTTTATTTTAGATTTTTTTTTAATGGCGAGTATAGGTTGCCGCCCGCCATTTTCCTGACTGCTCAAAAATGGCGACAAAAAAAATCAAAAAAGTTTATCTTTATGGTTCAATGGCGATCTTTACTGCTCAAATGGGGACCTATACTCGCCGAAAACATGAAAAAAATTCGACTCAAAGGGTTAAGGTTCATAAAATAAATATTGCTTCCAAAACACTATAATCTGAAGTTGTAAGCATGTTTGAAGATAAAAACCCCCATAGTTGACTCAATGACACAGGCTATTTTCTATTTTTATGCCTTCCCATCCTAGCTAGCCGAAACCATTTCAGGCGTTATTTCAGGCTTGGCCTAGAGGGTTGAAACATTATCACTGGGATCAAATTGAACCCAGAAAAAACTCTAGCCATGCTCTACCACTAAACTAGCTTTCTCCTCACCAATGTGTACCATATGAATAAATATAAATTCAATAACAATTATAAACCCATTTTTAACAAATATTATAAATAATATTACATACCTTTGCGTTTTTTTGTTGGCTTCTCATCGTATGCTATGAAAGTAGACAAGTCCACAAACGCTGGTTTATCAGAAAACCAATACTTGTCCGTTATTGACGATCGTTTCCTTGGCATATACAATGTACTACGTTTGTTGTTTTGATAGTCTCTTTGCTTATATCCTTTCCTGAAAAAATATAATATTAATGTATATTGCCAATTATTAAGTGTCAGTTAGACAATGCATTTGAATTTTTTGCATATAATGTTTAACTTGATCTTTAAGAGCTTTGGTCCAGTGACGCTTTGGTGATTTGTTGTAAATTTTCATAGTTTTAACTAATTGTTACTAAATGTTATTTGTTATGTTTTATTCTCTGTTATATTTGTTAGTCTGACAAGTACATTGTACATTTCCTTTTATATGAATGAATGAATAAGTGATTTATTGTTGCTTTTGTTTTTACATTCACAGATATTTCGCAGAGCATCTGCTAGACAAAACACTTCTAGGCATTGGCCGGAAGGGCCCTCGGCCAGGTTGGCAACAGAATACACATGAAAGAACAAAGTTACAATTAGTTTTCTCTTAAAATTAATATAAATATATAGATAATCAAAATATCACGATAAAAACTGAGAAAAATAACAAAAAGCTACTTGAACAACAAATAATACAGTTTAATTTTTTAATTAAATCAAAAAAAGAATAGAGCTCAATTTATTGAAAAAAATATAGAAAAACAAATAGTTAGATTTTTAAGTAAAGAAAGTTCACAAGTTGCATTGGCACTTCAAAAATAGGAGAATCATAAATTTAAAAATTAAACTCCTCTACTATTGCCCATCTGTATTGCCAGGCTTCCCTTAAGAAACCTGCCAATACCCGCCAAGCCATGCCATTCAGATTCCCATCAAATTCGAATTTGCTTAAACTAAATGCATTAAAATATTTTTTCCTTATACATCCATTGGGCACACACACGGACACAAAATGAAAAACGGACAAAGACAAATTGACTGAGAGGATATGGAGTCTCTCTGGATACAGATGTCGAGTTAGGAGTTTTCCTTTTATACTGCATATTATTGTACTTCTTGTGTTCTTTGACGTTGTCTATAACAATAAAATGTTGTCAAATGACAACAAATGGATTATGATTCTGAATATATCAGAGCCCTGATAAATGTCATCTTCAGAATTAAATATTGATCTGATTCAATTTGATATATTGACTTTATGTTTGCCTTGGCTTCCCCTAGGCACGGTTCATAGAATAATAAGTTGAGTTAACAACCTAATTTTTCAACAGCAGAAAATAATATATACAAGTAAAGTAAGTATTACACATTCTGTGATGCTTTATTTTATATAGTGCCACACAACAAAATCGCCGGCCTTTCCTATCAGCGTTCCACTTTTGGTCTGCCGCTTGCTTTTTTCTTAGAAACGGTCGAGGAGCTAGTGAATAGAGAATTCCTCCGTCTTGTGTCTCGCCGGTATTTGTACAAGTAGCAACGTCATGGCTCTCTTACATCAGGATAAGTCATACATATGAAGTAGTTGTAAAATTAAGAATGACAGGCTAGATTAACAATTTAAAGTTTTCGCCCCATTCCCAGAAATGTAAATTCCAAAATTATAACTACCTCATTTAACGAGGTAATTCTTCCTAGACATGCAATAGTCACCAAATTGAAATATCAGTAATAAATCATTCAGGAAATGATTTAGAGTCCAGATATTTTCAGTTATGTGTTAATAAACGCAACAGACCCCTGTTATTATCATCTTGCAATATAGCAGACTTGTCAGTATATTTAATAATTTTGCTTGGAAGGGTAGGTTTATTTCAATGTTCTAGTTAAATTTGTTAGTTTCATCCTTCGTAGTAATCAAAGCTGGCTTGGCCTGCTTCTGGTCTGGGTAAAGATCTCCGCCCTTTGGTCCCCAAACAACATGCTAGGGTCCTCCAGGCTCTAGCACAACAGTCAGACAACTAAAACGAATTTTTGATAAATATACATATCGCATTATGGGTCGCCAGAATTTTATCCCCCTGGAATTTTACCCCCTGGGCAAAGCTGACGTCACTATGACGTAGTAACCTGAGTGGTCGAAAGTTTGTTTGCGGCTGGAATTTTACCCCTGCGGATTTGGAAGTCTAATGAAAATAGTCAGAGCGTGATTAATTAGATTAGCGATAAAAACCAGAATTTTACCCCCTGTCCATATAACTAGCGTTTAGACAACTGAAGATGTACGGGCCGGATTTTTACCCCCGGATTTTTACCCCCTGATTTTTACCCCCCGAATTTAACCCCCGGAATTTTACCCCCTGGCCGATTTTAGAAATTGAACGATTGATTTTCTTATTTCTGTTTTTAATTAATTGTAAACATTTCATTATTTAGTAGCCTATCTTTATTTATTTATTTTGTAATCTCAACTAAGTAAACAGAATTCGCTGTTTTATTTCGATCATATTAACAACAGTTGGCTTCAAAGATCGAATCCTGATACACGAATCTCAAAATTAAAATTAAAAACCTGCTGTTCGGTTAGTTAATGTTACAAATAAATTAAGATAGGCTACTTATGTTTACTATTAAATTAAAACTGAATGAAGATAAGTAACCATTCTCACTAATTTATATATCTGGCCAGGGGGTAAAATTCCAGGGGTAAATTTCCGGGGGTAAAAATCCGGGCCGTACATTCTAGGTTTTTATAATTTGATGTGTTCTGATTAAATTCACAACCGTGAAATTATATGTTTAATTCCGCGTTTAATCCATCGAGCTGATGTCGCCGAACTCAAAAGTTTGCGGCCGGAATTTTACCCCCTGGTTTGTGACGTCACGTTTGCCCAGGGGGTAAAATTCCAGGGGGATAAAAATCCGCTACCCCCGCATTACTACCAATGTCACTAATCCCCTCGGTCATCAATCTACATCCGTCCCCCCCTGGCTACAATTCTTAACTTGTTTAAACTTGCTTTTAGTTTGGGATTATATTATTTTAAGAGAGTAAGATTTAGTCTACTTTGTGGAAATACTTACCTAAAAAGAAACATTGCAATAAAGGCAAAGACTGTGGAGATCACAAACGATTGAATACTTATCATGAGCTCTCTTTGACCAAAGCTGTAGTGGTACTCATCAACGTTTTCAGCTAAAAAATAATTCAACACAGCAATTACGATTGGTTGTTTCATTGGTTTAAGACACAAATCATTTTCAGAAACTATTTTTGAACTATTTTCAAATGTATTTGAAATACCCCCGCCGCAGCAAACCTGCCAACTAAGCGAATTTCCATTTGTCTGAATTGATTTTAAATTAAATCTATTAAAATAACATTAGGTTTAACGAGTACCAAGGTGTGCTGCTACAAGGAAACTACTGTGGAGGTTTTTAGTAAAATATTAATAGCTTAGTTTAAAATAAATAATTTGGCAAGTTTTATCAAAATATATCCACAAACAAGCAAACTACAACATTTTACAATATTCTCCATAAGAATAACATTGGAATTTTAAATTTATAATTTTTTGGATCTTCTCCGTTACTAATAACCGTGCAAAAACACATTGATATACTAAATTATTTGTTTTTTTAAGCTCTTTAAAAAGGTCTAGAGAGAAATTGGGAAATTTTGTGTTTTGAGGGTCAAAAATTAGAAAAACCATTTTTTTACCCCATAAAAACCCACGTAAAACCCCGTTCCCATGGTCCGATCATGCTGGTTCGCGACCTCATCCAAGTTTATCCTGACTTACACCTTAGAACCAAATTTCATCAAAATCGGACAAAAATTACTCAAGTTATCGCGTTCACGGACGTATTTATATATTTATATAAATAAATCTATATATATACATATATAAAAATTTGAACGAATGGTGTTTTTGGCCTCTGGGGACATCAAAATGAAAAAGTAAATTGGTCCCGGGCCTAGGTCTTACCGTGCCACCTACGGTAATAGCTACTTCCCTATAGGGAAATTCGCTAAAAAATAGAAAACTACAATCAAAATAAACAGTGGATGTTTTAATGAGACTTTTTCTACTGGTTTCTTCCAAAAACAACAACAACAACAACACAAACATAAGGCTCAACATTTCTTAATTCACATTTTTTTTTAAACAAACAAGATTGTTTGTTTAGCAATTAAGTAAATACTTGACCTTAATCTGTATAAATATTTTTGGTTTGTTTTAATCTTAGCTTATAACCATAGACTAAGGAACCAATTATAGACCTCTATCGGCAGTTGCGCTTGGTTTAGTTCAAGGGATGGTCTATTGTCTGTAGTATAACAGATTTACATTACATTTTTTTTAATGCTTACTTTTCGTGTCAATCTTAAATTTCGACTTCAATCATAATTTATTTTTTAACAACTCAAACATTTTATAAAAATAAAATAAAGATCAAACCAAAAATGAGGACTATTACCCACACATTATCACCGTTGTTCAGGTGTTTCAGCCATGTTTTTTTTTTCATTACAGGTATAGATTTTAGGATATGTATAACCATAGATAAAACATACTCCCTTAGTAGATTTCTCATCCTTATGGAACAGCTGAAGACAATTTTATTGTTAGTTCGTGTACGGTTTATGTAGAGGTCGTGTTTTGTTTACAATTTGTTTCCCGTTATTACAGCCATTTAAAACCTCGTTTAACCAAATAATACGATCTAATCATAAACAATAACTTGTCCCCTAGTTATATAACCAAACAGTAAAGCAGAAATCAAGAAATTAACCCTAAAATAATTGAAACGAAGTTTCATCGACACTAGCGCCTTTGTGTCACGTACATGAACTAGACACGAAAAACGTGCTTCAAAATTTACAATGGGATGAGAAGTCTACTTGTGTTGGTTAGTCTATGGTATAACTACCGGTATATGATTTGTGCTTGTCTTTTATCTTTTATGGAAGAAACTATTAAAATTAACTTAGTAATAAATTGTAACCACATTAAATAACTGCAGTAATACCAAATTTATCCGTAACTTTGAAGAACATAATGCTAGCCAACATGGCTGACATTATCAAAACCATCAGGACCATCAAACGTTGTTTTCTAGAGACAGGGCTCCTCGGATGTCTGAAAACCAGACAAATGTAAACGCAGTTGAACTAGATTATGAATAAAGCACATGGATTTCAAAATTAAAATTATTAATGACAGACACAGGCAAAACAGGCTACAATAAAAATGTGGCAATTTAAGATCACTCAAATTCTTGAACCTGGGTTGAACATTTTTTTACATTTTCTTTTCAGTCATTTTTATTTCACAACTCTTGTTTTCAGTATACAGTATAAGTTTTTCACGGTACAAATATGTTTGAATGACAATGCCTTAATGATTCTACACGTACAAATCAAACACACTACTAATTCAACAACACTCATCATTGTAATAGTTTTGCTAATATTACACTATGTTAGAATAACATTTATTACTTACAGTATTTACTGAGTCAAACAAGTTTTAAATAGTCATTACCTAGCCAGGATGCTCAGGTGCAAATGATTTTCCCTAAAGCCGAGAACAGAGTTGTCCAGAAAAATCCGCTTGACGCTCAACACCTCGTCCGTGGTTGCCGGTCGAACCATCGCTTCCGGAAACTCGTCTACCTCCAATGCCAGCCACTGGTCCATCACAAACAGGTACTGGGTCGTGGCCTGGAGGTCGTACACGATAATCTTTGAGCAGTACCTGGAATACATTGCATGAATTCATAAGTTAAACTTTTTTAAAGTGGATAAAAGTGATTATTTTAGGGTAAATGCTTGGTATTAGCTTTAACTGTAAATAAAACTCTAAGAAGACATTCTGTATGAGTGGTTAGGGCAAGAACTTTCAATCTGAGGGCCAGTGCTTGAGTCACACCAATCAACAATTGATTTCAGTATCTGATAATGCAAAAACCCAGTGGATTAGAGCCCATCCTCAGCTGTCGGATAACAAACCACAAACAGGATAGGCCCCTCAGTAACTTTCACTGTATTAAGTAAATACCCTCACTAAAAACCATTTGTTAATGTAGTATGCATTACATTAAGTAATTTCCCAATAGGGAATAGCAATTATAAGCAAACATAGTCTTTATGGTAAATCATATGATCTGTGCTTTTTTGTTTCCAAGAAACCAAAACATAGATTGTTCAATTGTAAATTTTGAAGCTTGTTTTTTGTGTCTAGTTCATGTAAGGCGACACTAGGCGCTAGTGTCGACAAAATTTTGTTTCTATTATTATAAGGCCAATTTTTTATGGCTAATTCCATGATTTGAGCTTTACTGTTTGGTTATATAGCTATAGAGCGGGCGAGTTATTGTTTATGATTAGATTGTATTATTTCGTTAAACGAGGATTAAAATGACTGAAATAACAAGAATCAAATTGTAAAAAACACGATTCAAGATTTACCAAGCCGTTCAGTATTATTTACAATAGGCCAAGTCACACAACGTCTACAGTGCACCGTACAGAACTAACAATAAAATTGGCTTCAGCTGTTCCATAAGGATGAAAATTCTACTATGGGAGTATGTTTTATCTATGATATAAAACTGTTTGAATACAAATCGGAGGAGTTAAGATGATCTAGTTTTAGAGCACGGCTTCTGTCAATATTCTGCTGGTTAGCCATAAGGGAGCATTTAATTTTACCGATTTAAAGAGCCGATTGTCTTACCAGTCGGGGTTCCTCCCAGAGTTGTCATGCCAGAGTTGCACGGCATTGAGCATACCTAAGGAAACAGGATAGCACAACAGAAACCAGTCATCATTGTCTCTTTGTAGAACTCTCCTGGTCTCACACTTCAGGACTGTTGGCTGCAACAGTTGTTATCGGTATTATAATTATCAATTGGGACAGAAACCCAACAGGGTGTAACTTAAGTCAAATATGAGAGCAGAATGGAGTAAATTGCCTTAGCTCGGATAACAAATATACCATAAGGGGATATTTTTTACCTATGGTATCTTTTGCTGTACGGAGTTCATGTTTTTGGGAATAATTTTTGAAGCACTACGGCACCTGTAAAGGCCATGCTTTGTTGCAGGAATGTTTTGCCGGTTTTGGTTGGATCGTTTTGATTCAGTCCCATAAACGTGAGCACTCCATTTAATACATAAAATTGCTAAAAGGGTAAGTGCTAAGACAGCATTTCCTTAAGGCCAGAACAAAGTAAATTCTTAAAAAAACTTGCAATGGTACAATTCCATTGTGGAGTAGTGTTTAAGCAATTAACATATAGGCCTGATATAGTTTTTATCAAAGGTACGTAAGAAAGTAATGACAGGACAAGGGGCGAAAAATTATGGGGCCTAGGGACGCCAAAATACTAAATCCATTATTGTGGGTGCTTGGTCACTCTAAGGTAACATTGCTGCTAACTGGCTAGCAAATGCTTTTGCGACAACTATGATCGGTTCTCTACCCTTCTGAGGCACCTGTGTGCACCTCCATCGAGTCATGGGCCACTAAAAAACATTGTAGGAGAAGGGCTGAAGCAATCCTTTTTAGAGTAAGTAAGCACACTCCTCTCAAGGGATTGCCTCAGATTTCCTGAGGTTGATTAGGGGAAGAATTGGACAAAAATTAGATAGACAACAGAACGAAAAACTATGGAGCTGATTACTTGACCTAGGCTTGTCAAAGAGCATTTGCCTCAAATTGGTCTGTGTGAAGTGTCACAGGTCAGAGGAAACTGTTTTCACCTGATCTTTCACATTGAGGAGATCTCAGAGGTAAGAAGGACAAATCTTGGAAATCTGGTAAGAGGGAGTCACCTTCCTGAGGAGGAACTGTTCAGTACAATGCAGGCATTAGGTGCCTGGACATTGGAGGTCTCTGAATATCTCAACATTGGGGTACGCAATGATTAAACAAATTCAAATAAACGCGTGTTGAGGCTTTGGCCCGTCTCTCATAGATGACATAACACATGATAGTCAGGACCATTTATAAAAAGCCCAATAATCAGAACTAAAGCACCTCTAGACCAACTTGCACTCTAGCCACTCAATATTAGCATTATGTCGTATAACATATTTTTTGCCATACTGCAGCAAAAACAGCCGTTTTTAATACATGAGTTGTGGGTCATAAGAAGCATTTTTACTCTCTAGGGAGAAAAAACCTTTAAGCCCCCATTTTAAAGCTGATTTCATAAATAGGTGCGCACAAAACTTTGCTTACCCGAGTGGCGTAGGTGTCTCCATAAAGACGAAGGCCAACGACAGCAGAAGTTCCTGCTGTTAGACGAGACCCAGTGAATACAGCGATCAAGTAGGCATAGCTCTCTCCTGGGAAATTGTCATGGAGTACGATGACATCGCTCTACAACAAAAATGAAGTTATTAGCGACAGTACTTGATCATCCACAGGCAGGGTCAGATTACAAAATGGCCAAATAACCATAAGGTTGGATAGTCAGGACTGTATTTAATTCCCTGAAACACACAAAACAGCTTATTAATCATAAATAATTAATTACCAAATAGACTGTGCTCTGTGTGTGGGGACTGAGAATAAGTTAGTTTATGAAAACTATTCACTGTTATACTTGTGCAGTATACAGAAACTGGGATAATGTTTTAAAGATATGACTTTCAGGAAATAATTTTGAACTAAAAAAAATCAACTAAAACATTTTGTTAAGAAAAATAAGATAGTAGCTAAAGTAATGGTGGTGTTGAAAATCGTCTTTTAATGCATCAAAACCCATTGTCTTAAAGAAATACTGGTTTTTGACATCCTTGTACACATTTAGGTGTGTTTAAAATCAAACAAATTATTTATACAATAGGCCTACATAATGCAATGTATTGTCAACTTTTTAGCTCAATAAAATTATTTGATTTGATATAATAGTTATTGTAGCTCATTAAAAGTACTTACACAAAGTGCGTCCTTCCGATCTTTTCGATAAGCCCACAAAAGTAGCAGCAGAAACAAAAGAAGGATAACAATCACAAAAATTACCACATAAGGATTTTCTGGAACTGTGAGGAATAGAGGTGCGTCTAAAATGGGATTGATGTCGTTTGGTGGAACGAAAATTGAACTTGAAAATATCGACATGTGAGTGCACTGACATTCAACTGTCTCTTCCGATGTTTTTGGTCCAACCTGTAAATGTGTAAATTGTATTTATATAAGTTTAAACAAGATTGAATAGGAAATGTTGCATGATGATGAATTTGTGTTTGATCGTAGCTACAGCTGTTTTGCGCTTATCAAAATTTAGCACAACTAGTTAAAACTCGATCTGCCTAAATATCTTTCAAGGTTTTGTTCATCAAAAGATGATGATGAAAATAAAAATACAAACGCAAACGAAACTTTAATTAATACTCAATTTTCACCACGAGGAATACTAAGCTTCTTGGTGGCCTTCTTTACATAATATAGTTTTGACAACACAAAGTTACTTAAATTTTTTGGTTAATTGGAAAAAACTAAAAACAAGAGGCGATTAGTTATATACCTATAGCATATTGTTTGATAAGGATAATTTGGCTTTTGCCAACCAAGTGCAAGTTGCCAGCAGTGTATTACCGGTACCGACCAAACACTGCTTGAATGTATTGATTTGGTCACTAAATTAATATTTTTAGTATTATTTGTTTTGTTTTTTGTATAAAATTACAATTAGGAATAGTCAACCTCTAGTGATTATTCATTATGATACCATTGACTTATCGGTCAAAGATGATACCCTTTGCAATCAAGCATTTGAAAAGTAGGAGCGATTTACTTACCAAACAATAATGATTAATCCACTGATTTTCCCAGATATGGCAATTCACAAAATGAAGATCAAAAGAATAGTCAACCGTGGAATTTACTGGAACCTAAAATATAACATAAAAATTACTAAAACTAATTACAATTCCAACTACCTCATTGTTACTGATGACGTTAATGTATGTTCCTTAGACATTAAATTGAATAGTCCATCCACTTCTACAACATTCAGAATGAGAAACCCAAAAACAATTTGTTTACTAGTACAAATTTTATATATGAAAAAGCTATAGATAAAATTAGCAAGCCAATCATCAGTCGGAATCCAGCCAGTATGGCTTTTAATATTAACCAATGAACTGAAGCGTAAGGAAAAAAAGGTCTTGAAAAATAGGAAAACTAAAACACCTCTTCAACATTCACACAAAATGTTAACTGAAATCACAAGAAAATATGTAAATGCCAAATCAAAAGTCAAAATTTTCCCTTTTTATGTGGCATGTTACGTCACTCCGCCTTGGGAAACAGAAACATCAATAGACTGGATCTGTACTAACATACAACCTGAGAATGTACAGACTTCTATCATCCTGACAGGCTTATCTGACCATACAGCACAAACATGTTCCCTTAAAATGTCAACAAAAATCCCCAACACTATAAAGGAAAGAAAAAGACTATTCACCAATAGAGAATTAACGCTGTTTAAGGAGAAACTACAAACACAAAAATGGGATGAGATTCTAATGGAAGAGGACGTCAACCTTGCCTACAACTCTTTCCACAGTACACTTCAGCTTATACTGAATGAAACCTGCCCACTGAAACTACTCAAAAGGAAACAAAATAAAAAAGACAGGTCTGGGATGATGAGTGCAACCGACTGAAAAATGCGTACATCAGTGAACTAGAAATAGAACAACTTACTGGCCTAACAGAACACAAAGCACAAACAGCGGAAAGAAAGAGAGAATATGACCTGAGACTGAAACACCTGAGACGAGAACAAACTGTAGCATACATTAATGAAGCAGAAAATAAATCAAAAGCAATGTGGCAGACAATAAATAATGAAAGAAAGGCAACCACTAATACAAACCATCAGCTCAGCCTTCAGCTAAATGGAAAAACGACCTTGGACCCACATGAAATAGCAAAATCCTTAAACGTATATTTTGCTACAATAGCAGAAAACACACTCCAAACAAACAATAGCAACACCAAGCCCACATACCCTGACCTAGCCCCAGCCACAAATGAGCAATTAGAATTCCATTTAACAACTTTTGAAGAAGTAAAAAAGACCATAGACTCCTTAAAACCTAAAACCTCTTCTGGTGTTGATGAATTATCTTCAAAACTGGTTAAAAGATGTAAAGAAGAACTGACAATACCACTCACAATTATAATAAATAAATCCCTACAGCAAGGAATTTTTCCAACTGCTCTAAAGACCGCCAAAATATACCCAAAATATAAAAAAGGGCCACGAAGTGAACCTAGCAGCTATCGGCCAATATCCCTGATCCCAACATTCTCAAAAATAATTTAAAAAATTGTACTTGCTAGACTCCTAAGCCATCTCGAACGGCATAGCCTACTCACGAATAAACAGCACGGATTCCTCAGGGGTAGATCTACAACAACAGCCCTGATACAGTTGACAGAACATGTCATAGACCAATTGGAGGAAGGATGCTCAGTGACCAGCCTGTTTCTTGACTTTAGCAAAGCCTTTGATTGTCTCAATCACGACCAGCTACTACAAAAACTAAGAGCCCTAGGAGTAGGAGGTAAAGAAGCAGAATGGTTTAAATGCTATCCCAAGGGAAGAAAGCAACTGGTAGAAATAAATCACACCCAAAATAACATAAACTACAAAATCCAATCTCCAACAACTGGTGTAAAAAGAGGGGTTCCACAAGGATCTGTACTGGGACCAGTGCTCTTCCTCCCCCTCACTAATGACATGCCAAACTGCATGGATGATGCCTGCTCCACTATAATGTATGCAGACGATACTGTGCTTACCATCTCTGATAAAGCTACTGAAATGCTTGAAACAAACATGATTGCATGCCTCAACCAAGCTAAACACTAGGCCTACTGTATAAACAATGATCTGGTCTTAAATGAAAACAAAACAGTAAAAATTATTTTTAACACAAAAAATAAAAGTACAAACTTAGCACCTCTCCCCGGCCTGGAAGCAAGCAACATAACCAAATATCTAGGTATCACAATTGACTCAAAACTGTCATGGAAGCAACACATCGACCAACTTGGCAAGAAACTCTCATCAGGTACCCGCGTAATTCGAAGACTCAAACAAATATGTGACCTGGAGATAGCTAAAGTTGCCTACTTTGCTCTTTTCGAAGCCCACTTAAGATATGGAATAGTGACATGGGGAGGAACATCAGCATCCAATATGGAAAAGATTCTTACTTTACAAAAAAGAGCAATCAGATGCCTAGCAGCACTACACTACCAAGAAAGCAGCCGGGAATCTTTTAAACAACTAAAAATCCTCACAGCAACCTCACTCTACATTCGGGAAACCATTCTGCATGCAGTCACCTCACAACAGTTAAGACATCATGAACTACATACATACAACACAAGACATGCCACAAATTTCACCCTCCCACTACACCGCCTAACGCTTTTCGAGAAGAAACCTTCATACAAAGGAGCGCTCTTCTTCAACCACCTACCAGACCATCTAAGAAGCCAGCCACCCCAACGTTTCAAGAACCAGCTAACGGAATGGCTCCAAGGAAGACCCTACTACTCAGAATCAGAATTCCTGAACACCTGACACAGCGCCGCCGCCGACGAGAGCTCTCTCTGGGCATCAAAATGTTAACTTTGTGTTATCACATTTATATAAAAAAAAAAAAAAAAAATCTTGAGCATTGTATAACTTTGACAATCTAAAATCTTTTGTTTTGACGCATGTACTATTCTCCCACGAATATGTAAATAAAGAACATTGTCTATTGTCTATTGGGCGATAGAGTTTGATTCACATCCGTGAAACCCATTTTTAGATTCCGTCGCTATTACTTCGGTAATTTGCCTGACGGTATCTCAGTCTCGATTGAGCCGTTATCTTGTGATTACATGTCCATTGTATTCTCCTAATTTTGTCTGTTATTGTTATACTGTTTAATTAAAGGGGTATTTTCGGACTACTATACAGTTTTCTGTGGGGTTTATTGGTATTTTGTTGTTGTGATTTCCTGTTTCAGAGTGGTTTATGTATCTTTTTCATTGCTATAGGTTCTTTTGCAACACTCCGGAACAAAATGTTTTGAAACCCTCACTTTTTACTAATCGCAATAAAAAATTACAGCAATCATCTCTTAAATAACATGGCTATTTTTTAATACTAGGAATATATATATGTATTTTTACCTAAATTTGCTGATTTATATTTTAATCAAATCAACTGCCAATAAACATGAGTGAAAGTATCAGTTTTGCTCCTAGCCTGCAATGTTACTTTTACTCATCGCTAGTAACATTTCATAAACAGCTGATTCTCGTGGTGAAAACGTATACTCACACTTTTATTTGGAAGGATTCCCATGAAGTAGAAGTGTTCTCTTTCAACAATGTCATATGGAATAACCACGTCTGGGTTTTGTGGTGAAACAACATTAGCTCCAGACAAGGCCTCCCAGTTAGGTCGCTCGTTAAAATTAATCAATACCTGAAATTTAAGTTAATTTAGTTCTTGTTGTTTAGTTTGTAACAATTGTTGTTGTGATAATTTCTTAGTTGATTTCTATGAGTTTTGTTTTAATAGCGATATCCTTATTTAGTAGAAATTGACTAATGTTTCTGCCGCTACTATATAAGCAGTATTCTGAGAAGGAAGGAGAAAAAATGCCTTTATCTATGCAATTATTGAGCGACATCCGCCCTATCCTGCACCTTGGTCATCAATGTGCAGGAAATTGGGGAGCGAGCAGGCCTATAGAGTATCTGACTTCATATTTCACCAATCCCCTATGGATTTTATCCAAGTGATAATATCGTTACACCTAGACTTAGCCTGAAGTAATGCAAAACCCAATTCCTGGGCAAGAGCCTTAAAAAAATGGCAGCACTTTCACAGATGAGGATAATGCACCACATCTTTCATGTTAGCAGCATCCACTGTAGGCCTAAATGCCATAGCATAAACTGTACGCCTGTATCAAAAACCAGTTGTCCCATTTACGCTTAAAGACCAAGTTGAGCTGTAGAAATTAAAAGATCACAGTTTGCTGTAAAAACGAAGCAGTGCACCAGAACTATTTTGTCAACTGTTAGTTCAGTTCTTACTGTACTGTATAACAATTACGTATCCTACTCACCCTCAAAGGCGAAGTTGAACTGTTCCCGTCAAACTTGAAGGTTATAAATAGTTTGCTCAGTGGTGGCAGAATGAAGCGGTGCACTAGAACTATCTTGTCCAGTGTGTCATTATCTAGCGTTGGGTCAAGTTGGGTAGCCACTCCTCTAATTGTAGTCTTTTCCATCTTCTTCACCTTCATGAAGATTTGGACAGGGGCTTCCACTTTTGGGACATAGTAATAACCAGGTCTGTACAGCCTTTCTGCTAGCCCCACCATGATGATTTCGGTGTTGATGTTGTTTTGCGCCCACCAAAAGAGATTTTTCTTTATAGGTGCAAACTGGAATGAAATGTAATGTAAAAAGTTGTTGTATAAAACTTTTTTTAGAAGCAGTCAGCACATTCAATTAATATTGTCCAGCTATGATTAGTTTTTTTACCAATAAATTGTGCTGCTGCCAATTGGGGACCAATGTTCTATGGGGTAATGTATGCCAATTAATGTTCAATAAAATATGTTATTTATTGCTAAGAAATCACATCTATGTTTGTGGAATGTTCAACTGTAAGAGTGATCAACCTTACAAATCGAGAGGTGTTAGATAAAAAAGATAAAAAAATAATGGTTTAGATATATATCACTGAAATATATAACTGAAATAACAGAAACATATAACTGAAAAAAAGAAAATTTTGAAGTGCGAGTTCAACTAAAAAAAAGTTAGCCCATATTAAATTAAATGAATTTTCTGTAATTTGTAACCTATTCATGGTATCTGTGATATTGGATCACATGTTTAATAGTCTTTTCATTGTCTTGTTGAAAGCATATGGTTACATTGTACATTTTAGTTACATTATGGTTACAGGGCAAACCCTGCAGAGGTCTTTGAGAAGTTTTGCAAGGATAACACAATCAAACATGTCTGCAGTACACTGTATCATCCAAAGACGAATGGCCAAGTTGAACCGTTTATCAAAACCTTCAAATCGAGAAGGCAAGATCAAACACAAAAGTTGGCGAAGCTACTGTTTGCATACAGAAACACACCACAAAAGTCCACGAGCAAACCTCCTTCATAACAGTTTTTTGCCAAAGACTTTGTCTCCATTTTTTTTTTTTTTTTTTTTTTTTTTTTTAGGGAGAGGAGGGAAAATGCTTTTACGCACACAGGTAGCCAGCCTGTAGTGTGAGACTCCTGAAAATTGTCAGACTACTCACTAAAAAACCCCCTCTACTCTGTTGGACACAGACCTGGAATTGTTTGTCACATTACTTCAAGTCAGGCCAACATGTGACCTAAGCCCTCAGGGCTCGCACCGTTTCTGGCATTTCGATTCTTAATGACCTACAACCGCATCCCGGTCAAGGTCGATCTTCTTGGCGCGGAGAATACCCTGGATATAATGTGACACACAGGTCCAATTGTCCTCACCCTCCGTCATAATCGGTATGACCGTGTCCACCGACAGCAGTCCTATTAACTGTTGAGCCTCCAGGCGGGGCCTTTCCCAGCGCTGGCAGTGGAAAAATGTATGTTCCACGTCATCGAGAATGCCTGGGCAGTATATGCAGTCGGGTGACACGGCTTTGCCCATCCTGAACAGGTACAACCGGAAAAAGCCGTGTCCCGTCAGAAATTGGGTGAGGTAGAAGTCCACCTCTCCGTACCGCCGATCAACCCAAGGTTGGACTTGCTGTATCAGTCGCCTGGTCCAGAGTCCCCGTGTCTCCTGTTCCCAGCCCTCCTGCCACAGCTGGTAGGTGCGGGTGCGTTCCTCTGTTTGTGCCTCGTCCTCCCCACGGCGCCGGTAAATTGCCTTTCTCTCCGCCGCCAAAAGTTTGACGGGGATGACTCCAGCAATCACCAGGACGGCGGGCTCGGACACTGTTCGGTAGGCAGATGCTACCCTCAGTGCTGCCTGACGCTGCACTCGGGCGAGCCGCATCCTGTATGCCTCCTTATTTAGTGCGTCTGCCCACACCTCCGCACCGTACAAGAGTACGGACTGGACCGAAGACATTAACAGCCTTCTACGACTGGACCGAGGCCCTCCAACATTGGCCATCAACCGGCTAAGAGAAGAAACCACCCTAGCGGCCTTGTCCGCTGTACGGAAGATCTGATCCCGCCAGCTAAGCTTGCTGTCTACCATGACCCCAAGATACTTGGCAGAACGAACAGTTTGAACCTCGACGGCTCCCACCCTCAACGGCACGATGGTGTCAATCCGTTTTTTTGTCAAAATCACGATCTCGGTTTTGCTCAGAGCAAGCGAGAGACCGTGGTCTGCCATCCATGCGTTTATGGTACGCATGACTCGGTTTAGCTTTAGCTGAGCCAGCTCAACGCTACGTGCAGCTATCAAAGCTGCAACGTCGTCTGCGTACCCAACCAAGACTGTTTCCTCAGGCATTTCAGACCTCAGAAGGCTGTCATAAGCGACGTTCCAGAGGTCTGGGCCGAGTATGGAACCTTGGGCAGCACCAGAAGTGACACTCATCGTCCGCGGGCCCTCCGCAGTGTCATACGTTAGGAGGCGAAACCGGAGATAATCCTCTACGATGCGCATGAGGTATGCCGGCACGTGGAAGGTGTTCTCCAGAGCATCCAGCATATCGCACCACCTCGCCAAATTAAATGCATTTCGCACATCGAGCGTTACGAGCAGCACAACCCTGCGAGAGTAGTGGGTAAAATCCTCAGCTCTCATCACGGCTTGCTTCACCTCCTCAATCGCATCAATCGTTGATCGCCCCATCCTGAATCCATACTGACGAGGGGAGATGTCCCCCGCAGCGACAACGGCTGAATTTAGCCGGGAACGGATCAATTTCTCGAGGACTTTGCCAGCCGTATCCAACATACACAGAGGTCTGTAAGAGGATGGCAGATCTGGGTCTCCCTTGCCCTTCCCAACAAGCACAAGCCTAGCTGTCTTCCAGCACAAGGGGAAAACCCCTTCAACCAGGCAGGCGTTATACATGCTCAAAAGGATCAAGGGGTTGGTAGTCAAAACCTTCTTGAGGACTTCACCGGGCACCCCATCGGGACCAGGAGCCTTGTTGTTCTTCAGGGATATGACGGCCGCCACCAGCTCTTCAGGGCTGAAAAGTGGGACGTCGTCCACCCTTCCATAATCCCGCAGTGGGCGCAACGCGTGAGCCGGGAAAAGGGACTTGACTATCCTCTCCATAGTGACCCTGTCCATGACGGAAGGTGGAGAGCGGGATCCAAGTTTCTTGGTTACAAGTTTGTAACCCAGGCCCCACGGGTTGGAATCAACATCGTCCCTTAATTTATCCCAGCAACTGCGTTTACTCCGATTGATGGCTCGACGAAGATACCTCCTAGCCACCCTATAAGCATCCGACTTACGCCGTCTGTCTAGGGGTTCTCTAGCCCTGGTAGCAAGTCTTCTGGCCCTCAATGCCGCTCGACGCAATTCCGCAATCTCGGCAGTCCACCAGTACACAGGACGCTTATTGCACCGGTATCTCCTGCGAGGCATAGACTCATCGCAGGCCGAGACAATCAGTTTCATCGTGGATGCAACTAACGCCTCTGCGTGAGGCACGCCAGTTGCAGGATGAACCACCGGCGTTCTTCGTAGGATGGTTCCATTGAATTTTGCCACGTCCAGTTTTTTAATGTTCCATCGAACGGGCACTTGACGAAACGCTGCCACTTGTCTCTGGTGACCATCCAGGACGTCAAAAATTATGTACTGGTGGTCACTGGCCGTGTAATCCTCCAGGACTCTCCAGGCTATGATCCTTGGCAAAAGAGACTCAGATGCAAGGGTAATGTCTGGGATCGTTCCCCGCATCCCAGGGCGCCGGAAAGTTGGCGTGTTGCCCTCGTTGACGACAACGAGTCCGGCTCTGGCAGCAAAGTCCAGAATGTACTTGCCCCGGGAATTTGTGAGGGTCATTCCCCACTCGACAGCCCTAGCATTAAAATCCCCACCCACGACGACGTGTCCTGTGGTATTGCGCACGCTCTCTTCCAGGCGGTCTATCTTCTCACGAAAGTCACGGATGGCCTCATTGGGAGTGAGGTAGACACTAAAGTAAGTGACATCCCGGCACCGAACCCAAACGAAACCTCGGCCCTTCGCGTGACCCCGTACTTGTACTGTAGCTGCATTACGCGCCCAGATTGCAGCAGTACCAAGACTATCAGGGAACCAAAAAGCTGGATCCCTATCACGGTACTGGTACTGTTCGCTGACTAAAAGCGCGTCGACATCGTGTTCTAGGGCAAGCTGACGCTCAAGATTGCATTGAAGGATTCTTATCTTCGTGGGAGGGCTTTCGCTTGTTGTAGTGCAGATTTAAATGCACTGCACTGTCCAGACCCAGCTATATGGTTCAAGTGTTTTTCAGCGAGCCCATTTTCTTTGCAAAGAAAACAGGACTCGACTTGGCAGTCCTTACGGATGTGACCGACCTCCCCGCACCGAAGGCAGTTCTTGCTTCGGTCGGGTCCCTTGCAGTTTCGGGAGGAATGGCCGAAACAGAGGCATTTAAAACACCTCTTTACTTCCACTCTCCGTCTGAGCCTGCAGTTGACCCAGCCGACTCTCAGATGTTGGAGTGCCAGCACCTTATTGGCATGTGCGTCTGCCATTTCGGCGACCGCCATCCGCTGCTGGCTCCTATTCGGTTTTGTGAGCCACACCTTCAGAAAAGCCGTTTGCCCACCAAGCTCGGGGATAGCTTTCTTCAGGGCTTCCACAACATCAGCCTCCGTCGACACACAATCAATGTCTCGAACCTCGACTGATGTCTTTGGCTCAAGAGAACGGACGGTGCCCTGGCCTTCGACAGCTGCCTTCAGTTCGGCAGTAAAGGCTGCTTTGTCTTTCGACCTACCCAGTTCAAGGAGAACGTCCCCGCCCCGGGTTTGTCTAATCGACCGTACAACCGTATCGGTCTGCTCTAGCTTAGCATTGGCCTTGATTGCACCCAAGACCTCGGCAAAAGATCTCCCCCCTGAGGGTTTGACAATGATTGCCTCCATCCTGGGCTTTTTTGGCCGCAACCTTTTAGGTGCAGGCACCGAACCGGGCCCAGTTTGGGCCGCGCCAGTTGGCTGTGCCTTCACTGCCTCATTTTTCATGGAGGCGACCTCCGCCCGCCTCAATTGCCTCTTCTCCTTTTTGGAAAGGCGTTTTTCCCAAACAGCCCCAGGTGACCACTGACCCCTTTCGGGAACTTCCCTGAAGAGGGGTCGTGGGTTGCTGTGCCAGTTGGCGCCTCGCTCGAGATGCAGCTACGTCTGAAAAGGGTCTGGGCACAGCAGACGAGAGGTCCGTCTGAGTCGCCTTGGCCTTTACCGTGGTCTTTTTGGTCTGGACACCTTCTTCTCTTTTTGGAGGACTCTCCAATGTGGAAGGCCTCCGGCGTTTCTTAGAAGGCAGCGCTCTTTCATCGGGCAGGGACACCACCTTTTCGGTAATCTTTTCCATGGTCGCCTTGCTTACCAGACGGCAGGCAAAGACGAAGCCAAGGTCATCCTCTAGTTTTGCCATTCCATTTTTTACCACTTGGTTTACGGCTCTCTGGGTCCGGAAGGTGTCCAGCATAGCCTTAATCGTCTTTTCCATGTCACGGAGCCGGGTTTCAATGTTACTATCTGCGTCAAGATATTCCTGACGCAGAAGCACAATCTCAGAGCTTTCCGACCGCGACTTCGCTGTGAAGGTTTCCTTCGGCATCCCTACAACAGTTCCCGGCAATGCCAGTTCGACATCTACATCGCCAACATTTTCTGGACCGTTTCCAGCTCCACTTGCCGAAAGGGATCCTAACGGGGGGAACGTAGAGCACTTGAAAGGCATTGGCCTTGATTGCACCCAAGACCTCGGCAAAAGATCTCCCCCCTGAGGGTTTGACAATGATTGCCTCCATCCTGGGCTTGACCACTTGGCGGAGATGTCCTTACGTTTTTCGGTGGTGGCGACCTCTTAAGCTTGGAGCTTCGCTCACGACCCACTGATAAACCCATCGGCAATGCAGAGCACACATCAACCCCTGCAACACAACAGGGGCACTCCCAGGGACTCCCAGTGAGTTCGTCGGTCACCCTTTTAGTCGCCTCTTACGACAAGCCCGAGAAGGCTGCGGTGCTATTCTAACCCGGTACCGCACGGGGTACTTTGTCTCCATTGGACAATTTAAAGCCCACGGTTAAAGACATGATAACAGAATCAGTTTTTTAAACAAAAGTATTATCACCATGGAAAAAGTAGACATAGGGAATTTTCAGAGAGGGAAGAAGTCTGGGTACAGATAGAACTAGGTGTCGGCTGGACTCCAGGAGTGATTACATCAAGAAATGGTGAGCTATCCTACCAAGTTCGTGTGGTGGACTTCTGAAGCGTAAACACGCAGACCAACTACGTAAGACTGCAAGAGAAGTGGAGCTTTATCTGAAGTGGGAGAAGTGTGATATTGGATTACATGTTTAAAAGTCTTTATTTTACTGTCTTGTTGAAAGCATATGGTTTATGTTCGTTTATGTTTTTGTTGTGATGATTTGAGTTAGTGTTGGGATGACATTAAGATTAAAATGTTCTTTCTTTAACTAGTTTTTTTTTTGTGATTATACTACATTATCAAAAATTTTATCAAATTTAATTTCTAAAACATATTGAGACACATAATAGTTTACGTAGCCCCTCCCCCTGATTATCATTTAAAACATTTGATTTTTCACAATTATGTTACAATACCTGAAGCATTAAGTCGTGGTTTTCATCGAATGTATTGGCCAGACTTTTTGAGATGTTAACATAGGAGGTGATATTTGAACCAGCCACATCTACCAAGCCATCTGCATTGTTGACCTGTAAACCAATAAATGGGCAGAGTTAATTTCAAATGTATTTTGAATTTATAATTCATCCATTTACAACATATACTTTCAAAAAAGAATACACTAATTTGAGACTTCTCCTGAACTAAATTCACTTCAACTAACGCTCTCATCAAATGGGTTGGTTAAAGCATGTCTTCAATACTGTCTGTAAATCACTAATTTTATATTTCGTATTTTATACTACTAACACATGGTATTACATCAGAGATAATTTGTGAATACGTAAGATCTTAGACTATGAAGAGCAGGAGACTTTCCACCGGTTTTAGAATAAAAATGATCATGGTAGAAATGGAATCACTGACAGTTTGTACAGCAATTATTTATTGATTTACGTTGTAAATACCAAATTTTTTTAGCCAAACCAAAAAGACAACTAACTTACTCTAAACTGTAGGATCTTTAATGTTACATGAATCATCAAATTTTCAAGCACTAAGAGATAAAATTTAATTTTTAACAGTAGCATACTCTGTAGGTAGTCCATTTTTTAAATATTTTACCTAACCCGCCATGTTAAATTTCCCTATCACAAGCGTGATGTATATAACTTCGTTACTTCTCGAGTGATGTAAAGTTGGAAAAAACTCACTCGGTGATGTAATGAAACCCATTTAAATAACATTGAGTGCTTAACTTAAAAAATAGACCTCTATGGAGCCAACGACGTTCAACGCTAGAAATCAGCTGCGCACTTGAATTTTATTGTTATGTTTTGAAGAATTTTCCTAACCTAGCTTTTGTTTGTAAATGAACGTTACTGTTAGAAGATGAGTGGAATGGATAATGAAAAATATTGTTCGTAACCTCCTGTATATTGTGGGGTCAGGTAAAATCTTGTACGTTACACGTTACGCAAGAGCGTGTTTACATCACTTCGGTAAATTATGCAACTCGCTTCCGCTCGTTGCACAACATTCACCTGCGTGATGTAAAAACGCTCTTACTCCACTTGTAAGGTAAATAGCTATTACATACACATGGTGTTGACCCTAGTATCCAAAACTCACTCGTGAATGGTAAATTTATATGGTGACTACAACCACATTTGGTTCCTGAATTGCATAACTAAAATAACCATTGTAAAATACAAATTAAATCATTAAAATCAATCAAGCCAAACTAGGTGTGTTGTTAAAGCCAAAACTATAAGTACATATTTTCATTTTACATGCATGCAAACCCCAGAATATCTCTGAAATGTACGTACTATAGAACTGAATTGAATAGAAAAATCTAGCTATGTAGAGGTAACTTACGTAGGAATACATTTCAGAAACTCCTTCCGTCGACCTTATCTGCCGCCCCACCGCTCCATAAGGCTGAACTCGACCCACCAAATACATGGATATCATCAGTGCCTCGGCCATGTCATTGGAGGCAACATTTAGCTACAAATTTAAAAAAAGGCATGTTAAAACCCCTTGTTTGACATAATGAGCAATTATTTATCTCTACAAAAATATTTTTCCTGACAAAATTTATAGTTGTGACAAAATGAGCAAACTTGATTGAACACTTTTTAGTAAAAAGCATTTATATGCCTAATATCTTTGAGAATCATATCAACTTTCTTTTATTATTAAGGTACAGTTCTATGAATGGGGTTCACAAGCTTACATATTGTATCCGAAAATAATTATGTTCACGTATTATAAATATTATATTCTACGTACAATAGGAAGCTAACAGTTACCTACATTTTCAGTGTGGTAGAAAAATACTATTTAAGGGAATATGAAGTTTAAGTCGAAGAATATGAAGAATACCAGTCCTGGTGTTGCTGGGTAGGTGATGAATACTATCCTATGTAGGATTTTTATTTCAAAGGATTTTTAACTTGTATTGAGATGGAATAGGGAATTTGTTTTATAACTAGTGTCATAGGTGTAACAGTTGGTTTGAGTGAATTTTAGAGGATTATTTGCAAGAAAAAGATAAGAGGGTGTTGGTCATGGACTGAATTCTTCCTCTGTCATTTAATTTGAAAAAAAAAAATAGCTTGGTGAGATGACTTAGGTAAGGGAGACCATTATTGGAACAATGGTGAGAGGCAAATTCCTGCGTTTTGCAGAGATAAAAAGAATACTGCAGCTTGTAAGTTTACTTGATGTTTGACTGGGCTCTATCAATTACCAGAGACTCTTCAGGAGTGATTATTTTAATCTCGACTTTAGAAGTGCTTACAGCACTAATGCTAGACAGCCTCGTCTAATAAACCGTTAGACTATTCAACTGATGGCGGGTACCTAGCATAGATGAAACATTCATAAACTGCTATAAATGGCTGTTCAGATTAACCCATTGGCGCCGACTTACGAGCGTTACTCGTACGGCTGCTGCAGGCCCGGCGGCCGACTTACGAGAGCCGCTCGTGTCACCGCTAGGCAGCGCCATTTTTTATTTAGTTATTATTATTTTTCGCCCTTTTTGTTTCTTCTTACTATTATAATGTTTATAAATATATTGCTTCTTGATTTGTGTATTTACTCATTTATTTTAGCGAATAACAAACAATTTTGTGTTGCAATGGAAACCACAAATCACCAAAAATCTGCTGCGGTAAGGTAAACAAAAATTTTTTTTAAATGTTATTACTTATAAAAGTACACAACTTTTGATTTTTCTACGAAGGGAATCAATTGACCTTTATAATAGTAGTGTTATTTGGTGTCTGGATTAATCTTGGAATTTGTATATCAAGTTTACTTTCAAAATATTGTTTTTAAAATTTTTATTTTTATAATCTTTATATATATATATTTTTTTAGTTTTGAACTTTGACTATCCAATTACCACTTTTCTGTAGACAATTTTACTGTGAACAAAATGGCGAAAGAATTATTAATTTACTACCTAAGGTTTTCTTTCTATAGCAGTTAGAGTAAAAGTCTACAAATTCGGTAAAATTAATTGCCGCCAGAGGGTGCTGCAGGTAGCGCATTAATTCCTTCCCCAATGGGTTAAGCAAAGATGGTATTAATGTGGCCCGCATTATTAAAGGTCAATCGTATATCTTTTACACACCGACAAACATATAACACTGCACTGATGCAGTAAAAGCTAAAGATTTTGTAAATTTCCAATGAGTACCGGTATGTCAAGAATTAATTGTAAAACTAATATTTTAGGTTACGAACATTGTCGTACACATCATAGTTGATGTTTTCCTCGGGAGCAAGTTTAGTTACGTTTCTATCTTGAGCAATAACGGCCATATCCACACAATCCATCATATTTCTGAAAACATAAAACAACATTTTAAGTCAAAATAAAATATTAGGGTAAAATGTGGGATTTAGTAAATGTTGGAGATGAAAATTCTTCAAAATTTGTTAAGCACTTAGAATAAAACTTTCTCCTATGTATTTACAATATTATTTACACTAAGTGAATGATTAGTAATAAGGATACTAGCATGTAACCTAAATTATCAATCACATTATCATGATAAAAAAGTTTCAAATAACTTCTCAATCCAGTGACAAAGCACTACGTCATCTGAAGAAATAATAAATCATTTGATTTATTATCTAAAATGCTTTAAACTTTAAACTCTTTAATTTACAGAGGTATTATTTCTCTATGGACTGTTGACTGTAGAGTTTTTATGTGTCAGTTAAAAACTTTGAGAAATAATAAATTTTGAGGCATCCAGGTTTGGTTTGAGGTACCGTATTATAGAATGTGTCAATTAGAGTGAAGACTGGGATACGCATGGGCTCAAGAACTCTTTCTCTACTCTTCGCTTTTGTTAATTTGTTGGTCATCTCAAAAATTGAAAAATTAATTGGCGTTGAATTCCTAATTTACATGACCTTAACTACTATTGAATTTTAAAGATGTTCAATTTAAAATAATCCACTAATAATTTAAAAAGATAATATTTTTTAATTTTAAATAATCTTTGAAAAGAATATATTTTCAATTTTTTTAATGTACCTAATATTGAAATCTTACAATAGTTTATTATAATCCACAATTAATTAATAAAATGAAGTAAGAAAATATTATTTACTTAGCTGTGTTTCAGTATCCTTCTTGTTTACACAGATTTTTCGTAATAGAACATAATAACGTACTTCGAGTAAATTAAAGAAGTGAAATTTTCACCTGGAAAGTTGGTGAACGTGTTTTGCCCGCAGTCGAGGTGTATGGTCAGGTTTTACAGCATATTTCAGATAAACTTTGGCGAGTTTCAACAATATCCTCCCAGTGTACATTTCTAGTACGTCGTCCAATAAATATGTCCCTTTCAGTGTTCCGTTGACCAAAACAGAGAGTATTGTTGAAATTCCAAGCTTCATACTCTCCGCTGAATCATACTCAATCTGGGGAAAATGTACATTATTTGTATGAAATGCTCAGGGAGAAATTTGTGAGTTGTTCTTATTGAAACACTGTTAGACTCTCTAGTTCTTATAAAACAATAGTTAACACAGACACGGTAAAAATCAATAAAAAATAGCAAAATATGTCTGATTTGAGGTGGAACTCTGTAAGAATCCACTCATCCAAATAACTACCACTGAACCATCCTCTTAAAAAGTGGATCTTCAAGTCTTAGTCACAGATAGAGAAACGGCTCAATAATTCCACAAATCATTAACACCAGATCAGAACAATAGAGGTCACAAATTGTGGAGGCATGCACTGTGGATGCGATACTCCCTGGTGTGGATTATCATCTGCACTATTGTGTACTACGACTATCCGCAGTACTATCCTGATAAATAGACCAATTTGTTAAAACCAAGGCAAAAATGTGGTTCGAATTCCACTATAAACTGTAGGTCCCTTAGTTGCCATTAGCTGTGAGGACTATTAAAACAGCTGTGTCTAAGGAATAAGTCGGTCTTAGTCACTAACAAGACCACAAGATCAAGCCACTAATCCTACACTCATCTCCATTCATACTTGGCTTAAAATACCTACTTTGTATGGTCGCCATTTTAATGAAAAAAGTATTAAAAAGGTTACGATTCCTCAATCTATGGTTTTGGTTGTGTTTCTTGTGACGGAAATTACAATGGACTTTGGAACATAGTGGTTAAAAGTTGTGGTACTAAAAAGCTAAATGTGTTGACACAAACCCTGGCCATTGAAGATATAATTCTTCGAATGTAGTATTCATTGTTCAAGTCTTTATACAGTATTTCAGCCAGAGTGGACATAAGGTCTTGCGTAGCTGAAACATAAATCCAAGTTTATTTTAACACACTCACTACCAGCAGAGGTGGTGGTGGACCAGACATACAGAAGAGAGTGATGGTTGGAAGGAAAATCTGTTAATAAAACTTGATGCATTATCATTTACTGGAAAACATGAAGGTAATAACTGCAGTCTTCAAGTAAAACCTAAGTCTTGGACCACAATACTTTTTTTGTTTTAGGTTTACCATTACCAGAAACCTAAACATTGTTTAATAATTGTAATGTGTATATTTTGTTTTGATTAAAGTGATTTACATTTCCATTTGCAACAATATCCTTTTTTGAAAACAGATTTGATTTAACCATCACTTGGCAATTCCCCAGATTTGCTGCTATGGGCAATTTTCATACCATGCAATTTGTCTGAGTTTTATAATCTTGTTATACTTTCTCTTTACATATTAGCCATAAAAATAGAGGAATATATTTTGATGAAAAAATTGCAATATTTTTGTATCCCAACAATGATTGAAAATAAAAGAAAGATAAAAGTATAAAACTTGATTTACTTGATATATGGAAAGCAACACAAAATATTTTGGTAAAACCTTCAATCTAATATAATACTGCTATTCAGATTTATATAAAGAAGCTCTCAACAATATACCCACCATTAGTATACAGTGATCTGATCTTATTTAACTACACTAATCTATTGAAAAATTTGTAAATTATTTACATATAGAATTAACTTACGTTGATAATTATTGTAGCCCATGTAATCATCAATTTCGTTCATTAAGTATTCAATATGCGTTATATTTCTGTCAAAGTCATACAACTGGAAAAAAACAAATTTTAAAACTTAAACTGTTTACAATCACCAAAGAAGAGTGGAACCTTGATAAGAAGACCCTCGATAACAAGTCGCCCTTGATGATAAGTGTCATTTTCAAATCCCCTTACAATTATTTTACCCCTAATCACATGTTATTACAAACTTCGATAAGAAGTCAACCTTGATAACAAGTCTTATTTTACAATTCCCTTGAGAGTTTTGTTATCAAGGTTCTACTGTAGTTCTATAATGCTGTCAGCTTATGAAAATGTTATAAAAATATTTTAAAGATGGCCCTTGTAAGTAATTAATCTCCAAATCTTTTAAGACACTTAGTGTTAAAGATGCTTCTTTTAAGTCTTTTTTTTTGGGGGGGGGGGAGGAGAGAAAATATATGCTTTTCCTACATTCACCTGACAAATTGGGCTTCTTTGCACTGATTATAGTACAGAAAGTTGCTAATTGCTGCATTTCCTTACTTTTGCTATACTCTTTTAATTTTTCCGTACTCTTTTAACTTTTATCACATTATTTTTTTTCTACACTCCAGAATTCAACCAAACATCACAAAACAGTGTGATTTTATTAGGCGCATAATCCGTGTACTCTTCGAAATAGGTTGGCAACACTTAAAGATACTACAACTACGATCAGCTAGCTGGTCCAGAGTTTCCCATTTCGTTCAACACTTGGATAACTTGGATATAGTGTGAAAGACTAGTGTGGATTTTTATATGCTTTTATAGTAACTGTAAGAAAAATATAATGTGTTTGCGAGTGCAAAATGCCTTTGCTGCAATCGAGAAACTTTCCACACTCTCCTGTGGCTTGAGCGTAAACATTTCTCCTGTGTGCAGCAAAGTGTCTCTAGTTAGTCACACAAATAATTATTTAGTATTTACACACACAGTTGGCAAGCCTGTAGTGTGAAACTCCTGCACTGATCAGACTACATTTCTTGAGGTGGTAAAATCAACATGACCTAAGCCCTCAAAGACTCGCACCGTCTCTGGCATTCAGTTCTTTTATGACCTAATATGGCAAATCATTGCTCTTCATTTTTAGCTGTCAATAGGCATCCATGCCAGAGAAAATGAGGTATTTCTGTTTTATAGCTGTTCAAGTTTAAATTGTTTTTATTTTATTGTAAATTAACTAAATCTAACTTATTTTTCTTGCAAAACCATTATTTGTTATAAAATTAAATAAACGGTATCAGCAATCTGACACATACTTTCTCCCATAAGCTTGTCAACAACCTTTATCATGGGAAAGCAGTGGGAGTAACTATTAAAATTTTGTAGGAAAAAATAACAAAAGTTGCAATAACTTTTAAACCGTAAATGTTACAGTAATGGGGGTTGCATTATTTTGTTTACAATTATAAGGACCATAACAAATTAATTTTAATCAGAACCGTGTTTTTCCCAAATTCCGATTTTTTGTAATTTTATGGGATTTTTTTATGAGAAAATAACATAAGCTACAATAACTTTTGAACCGTAATATTTACAGAAATGGGACTTAAACCATTTTGTTCAGAATCTAAAGGACTATAACATACTAGATTTTTATAAAAATAGTTCAGGCCATTTTTGAGAAAATCTGATTTTTCCGTTATTTTATGGTTTTATGAAGAAATTTAAAACACAAATTTCAAAAAAATTAAAAAAATACCTTTAGATACCATGGATTAGTACCTATAAACCAAATTTCATCAAAATCGGACTACTGGTGTGGTCTGTAGCTCTGTATACACATCCACACATACAGACATCACTTTGAAAACAACTTTTTGGGGTTCAGGGGGGCCCAAAATGGATATATCCACTCAAAACTCAAACTTGAAAATTTTGACGAAAACAATACTTTCTCCATGGACTATGTATCGGGGGAGAAAGTAAAAAGATGCTTGTTAATATTTATTGTATGCCAACCAACAGACGGTCCAAAAGACCATTGTTGTAAGTTATAGGCCAACTTTCAATTTTGAAATTGTATAGTTAGGCTCTTTATTTGTTATTGTATGATTGTAAACCTTTTATTTTGTTAAATAAAGCACCTCAATCACTTGTAGTAAATCTCGGTATTAAGGGGCAAACTATCTTAAAAATGAAAGTAAAACTATAAACATCCTTTACCAGTTGTCATTTTAGAATGTCCAAAAGGTATTTGTATAAACACATTAGATGCAGAGGTAGGGATTAAACACTCACAGAATGAATTGGCATTACTTGTATGATGACTTTAATTCCTTACCTCAACATTGATTGTGACAGAAGGTCCGTCTCCGTCCTCATTGAGTAAATATATTACGACCCTGCCTCGAGTCAACCTGAATTGCGAATAAATACCTGAATATGAATATCCAGTCATTCTACCTGAAATTAATCATGGATTAGTTAAACAAATATGGTCTGTAACAATTCAAGGTGTCATTAATGCATTAGAAAACTTTTTATAATTATGTTAAGACAGAAACCTAAAACTTACCAGGTTGGTTGTGCAAAAATATAAGAATGTAATATAATTTATTTTATGCAAGCAATTGATCTATGGTAAAAAAGATTGTTAAGCCACTTATAAAATCTATGGCAAAACCAGTGTGCGTGTTAAGCTGAGTTTAAGACTATAAAGCATGTATTATCAATGAATGAGTGCTGTCCATGATTATCCTGGATTAGATTAGATTAATTATTAGGGGCCAACACTTCTGGATGCATATTTCAGGGCAAGGATGAGTATTAGTAAGTAATACAGATCACAGCTTTTTTACCAAGCTATTGACACTGGACTGGACACGCTATATGTTTAGTATAACTGTAGTGTTACATTTTCAAATAATAAGTAAATTAGTTCAGTTGAATCAAACTCATATTTTAATGTGAACAGAAAAACTAATACAAACAAAACAAATAAAAAATAACAGGTGATCATTTATTCACATACACATATGGTCTTAAGTTATTACATCAGTTAAACACATCAAATTCTCCCCTCTGAAATGTTTTGTTAGAGTGAAAATTTAAAAACGTACGTTTTCAGGAAAAGCACTTTAAAAATTTTTTGTTCCGTTTTTTTTAACTTTTTAATTTTTTTTTTATTTCATTGACATTTGAAGTTTCATAAAATGTCCATGGTAACGCAATATCTTTGGTGATTTTTATAAATAGAGCATCTTTGATGGAAAAACACGAAATTTTGTCACGACCATCACGGACATAAAAACTGAATATTAAAAATAGTTAATATTATTTTTATTACTATGTTTTGCTATAAATTAATTTACTTTTATGGCCATTATACAATAAACAGCTCACTTAGACCGGGCGTATGCTGAGACGCACGTGACAACGCACGCAAGCCAAGTTTTTCGGCGCAAGCCACGCCATCTATGTATAATAACTCCCATCGATGAGCCACGCAGCACACGAATTTTTGACTAGCGCATGCTGAGACGCAGCACACGCAACACATGCACTACGCAGTCACCAAGTAGTTAACTGATTTTCAGCTGTTGTAAACAGTTGTAAATTTTGATTGTTGCAATCGTATCGTTCGAAATTATTTATCGATTGATTTATTAGGTAAGGTTTTAGCCTATTGTTGTCGATTGCTCGACATTTCGATGATATAATAACACAATCATAATAGACAAAATAATTGAATCACTTAGTAAACACTTGCTTATTTGCATTAGCAGAATTGAAAACAAGCTGGAAATTGTTTTGAGAGGTTATGTTTACATAAAAATCATTTAGTTTTCTAGCTCTATTTTTGTTAATTAATGATTCAATATGACGGAAAGTATAGTTCACCACATGGGCAAAAAGTGACTTTTTAACCCTCGCTGATTTTCCGACCTCTGTTTCGCCTCGAACGTAAAACTTGACCTCTGGTCAAAAAGAGTCACTCTAGGCCCTAGTGATGAAAAAAATGCTATTTATCTTAAATTATTTTCTAAAGCTACTCGTTTAGGAGTTACAGACAGCTTGTTGCATTACATTAATAGACAATTAATGGTGGTCTCTTGTCTGTGGTTGCACCTAAGAAAAAATTGCATGTGGTGTACATTCTGCTCCTGTACCTCCTAAACGAGTAAGTTTTGAGAGTAAATTCAAAGAGTAAATACGCCTTGGTACTTAAAATAGCATCTAAAAGACCATAAAATACAGAGTGTTTCAATTTTAAAGTTAGCTGTCACTTTAGGCAAATGGTAGTCATTTTGAAATAAATTGAATCAATATTTTTAATGTATTTTATTATATGACATTTTTTGGATGTAGACACTATTTAGGCCTAAGCCTTATTTTCTACTGTATATGCATTATCCTCTCCAAACATACTTGTTTATGAGCTGCAGGATGCAGAATGTACAAAGCAAGCCACTTTTTTTTGTGCAAATTTGTGCAAAAAAAAAATGTGCAACAAGCCGTAACTCCTAAACGAGTAGCTTAATAAAAAGAACTTAATGAATACAAACTTTTTGAAATCGTATTTACTTTCCAAAACAATCATAAAATAGGCTACAGGGTGTTCCATAAAAAATATTTAAGTTATCAGCCATATTGGAAAATGCAGTCATATAAAAAAAAAAAAACTACTTAATAAATAAAGGGGAGCATCTCATAAGAATGTAAGCCTACGTGTATTCGAACGTTTTCGCAAATATCTACAGGTCGGTACGAATGCGGCCGCCACTACCATTTCCTGCTGAGATGCTGGAAAACCAATGCAATGCAAATAAGTTGCATAGTAATGTTTTCAAATATAAAATGTGAATAATGCATTGATAAAATATTAATACATGTGCTGAACTAGTTAATTAACGTATAGGAATTATATAGGTGTAATTGAGGCATTTCCCTAAATTACGAAGCTATGGCTAAAAATACAGAGTATCACAAAAAAACGTAGCAGAACCAGATTCTACATACAAAAATAAGATGAAAATAAAAAAAAAAATTTCCCAAAATCGCTTAATATTAATATTAAGTTTAGTTTATGAACCTTTGATTTGGATTTTCAGCTCTAAACAGGATTTTAAGAACAAGTACAATGTGTTACGTGGATTCAAAAATGGAAATAAGAATATTTTTAAATTATAAAGGTCCGTACCGATAGTCTATTATGACGTTTCAAAACTGCATACACCACAGATAATTCACATTGGAACTCAATCGACGCTCAATTGTTTGTTGTCATCGTTCACACGAGTTGTGTTTAGTGTGTCTGAAAATCTGTGTCTGTGCTACAAACTGAGACATGCCACGCAGCACACGCATTTAGTTGCAGAGAACACAGCTGGTTAGTTGTCAAGATGGCTGAAAGTACCTACTACTTCGAGTCCGACAAGGGAATTGAGGAATCGGTTCGTCTTATATTGTGTTTCGTGCTTGCACCCAAGCTGTGTTGCATGCGTCGAAAACTGTGACAGGCCGGCCCACGCGTGTGTCAGTCACATACACGCGTGCGTCTCAGCTTACGCGGCGCCGTAAGATAACATGACGGTACAGTTTTCTGCCTTGTGCTGTGTTGCGTGCGTTGCGCCGCCTGCGTCTCAGCATACGCCCAGCCTTAGCTTTAGGTATATTTGGTCTTTCTAGAAAAAATTTAAAAAAACTAAAATAATTGAAAAAAGCCAATAAAATCTTTTAAGTTTGTATAACTCCGAAAACGGCAAAAACACTTACCTGAGACCTGAAAAATCGTTATGTTTTTATTGAGGTGTGCCTCTTTTGTGTATAAATCATTGAAATATGATGATATTTAAATTTTTTACATATTTATGATAGAAATCATCAATGTGACGGTCTGGGACAAGCGGTACGGTCGTGAATTGTCTGGAATAATCGAAATCTTTCGAAACAATCCTTCAATTATACTGTTAGTTATAATAAAAATATGTGTTTCAATTGAACTAAACTGTTCAATTTACAATGATATTTAAGTTATTGTCACGACCAAACACAGTATAATCCATAAGGCTAGATTGGTCGTGAAAAAACCCACGATGGTCGTGAAACTTTGGTCGTGACATTACGTGTTATTTGGCTCTGTTCTGGCGGTAGCCCTGCACCTCATGTTCGAGGATACAAAGTGGACTTCTAGGTTAATCTAGCAATTGAAATATCTTATAAACAAAAATTAACACCATGTCTACTTCATCGAATGACTACGTACGGTCATGGACACACCAAAATTACAAAAAAACACAATCTTTCCTTTATTAATCTTGTAATTCCTCCTTTCAACTCGAAATGACCGGCACTACAATCCTGACGTACACCCCGAACTAGTCTCTAAAACCAACTGACTCCATCAACGCCAGGCTTGCCACTGTCGTGCTCCAAAGTTGAAAATTTTTCCCAAATGGTCGTGATGCCAAATCGAGGGACAGACTTATTTTGTCATGGTAGTCAGTTTGCAATGACAATAAAATTATAATATGCTCCTTTTTTGTAAGTTTAATAACTATTGATGACATACAAATATGGCTTTATATATTTCGGCATGAATAATTAGTCTAAAAACAGTGTGAAAGTTGGAAAATGTACCCTAGGGACACGTCATGGTCGTGAATTTCGAGACTTTAAAAATGCGAAAAAAATACCTAGAACCTATTTAAAACCAAATAAATGTGTGTAACATGTTGCCCCCGTCCCAAAAAATATTAAAACACATAATAATAAACTACAAATCCAGAATCTACAAAGTAAAAGGCCAGGGACATGAAAACGTACGTTTTTAAATTTTCACTCGTTAACGTTATTTCGCATTTGAGTAGTTGATCAACATGACGCCTCCAGACAGTTCCATCGTCCATTTTTACTTTATACAGAAGGTTGCTTTCGTTGACCAACTACTCAAATGCTAAAAAACAGGTGATCATTAATTCACATACACATATGGTCTTAAGTTATTACATCAGTTAAAGCACATCACATAGAGACTGACTACTAAAGCCATGACACATATTTTATTTTCACATAAAATTCAAATTGAGTTGATTTATTTATCAGCATTTACCTTGATAGTGTTCTATATCGTCATGTCCTTTGTCGAAAAATTCATAAAGTATCGGTCCTTCCGACTGCCAGCCAAAGCATGTGATATCAAACAATGTAAATCCTTTCATTCCCGACTTAGGAGTCATCGTGCAATTACCTTCCGTTGGGATTTCATTAGGGCAGTATTCAATGTTGTAGGGTATTATTTTGTCCTTAGCAGCATCTGTAAAATTAAAGTAAAATGAATGTAAACAGAAATACATTGTAATAATTGATAAAAAATTAAATTAATTTAATTTTTTTACAGCAACAACACACATTTGGTTCATCTAACTTAATTCTATACACACACGACACACCTTGAAATTATTCATCTTGAAATATACACTCAAATGTGTGTATGTATGTTGTATATTGTACGTAAGTGAGTAAAAATTTAAAAACGTACGTTTTCAGGAAAAGCACTTTGCAAATTTTTTTCCCCTTTTTTCAAAACTTTTATTATTATTTTTATTTTATTAACATTTGAAGTTTCATAAAATGTCCATGGTAACGCAATATCTTTGGTATTTTTTTAAAAAAAGAGCATCTTTAGTGGAAAAACACAAAATCCTGTCACGACCATAACAGACGTTTAAATTAATATTAAAAATAGTTAATATTATTTTTATAACTATGTTTTGCTATAAACTAATTTACTTTTATGACCATTATACAATAAAAAGGTCACTGAGCTTTTGGTATATTTGGTCTTTCTAGCAGGCCCGTTTTTTACTATGTCAGCGCCCTAGGCACAACTAAAATAGTAGCGCCCCTTTGCAATATATATAACAGGGTGACTACCAACCGGGAAATCTGGGAACTAAGCGTGAATTTTTTTAACCGGAATTATGCGTGAATTTTGTATTTCTACCTGGAATTGTCAATTTACCGCAATGGCGCATGACAACAGTGACGTTTCCGTGACCACGGGAGACGATAATATGTCTCCGCAAGGGATGATCAGAACATTGTGCCGCGACCGCATGAGAGAAGATGATAATGTCTAAACGACCGTGGGATATGATCATGATTTTACCGCGATCGCGCAATAGGATAATGAGATCTACAGAGCTGTAAAGGATGGTCAGAATATTGCCGCGATCGCATGAGACGATGATAATGTCTAAAAGACCGCGGGACATGATCATGGATTTTACCGCGATCGCGCAAAACGATAATAAGATCTACAGAGCCGCGATGGATGATCAGAATATTGCCGTGATCACAGAAGACGAAGAAAATGTCCACACAACCACGGGAAACAGTCAGAAATTTGCCACAATCGGGGAAGACGATATTGATCTCCACCTGACTGCGGGATATTATTAACACTTTGCCGTAATCGCGGGAGACGATTACGATGTCTTTACGACCGTGGGAGACGATTACGATGTTTTCACGACCGTGGGAGACGATTACGATGTCTTCACGACCGCGGGAGATGATTACGATGTCTTCACGACCGCGGGAGACGATTACGATGTCTTCACGACCGCGGGAGACGATTACGATGTCTACAGGATCGTGGGAGTTACAATAATGATGGCTACTCTACACGGCTGCGGGGGATGATCAAATTTTACCGCAATCACGTAAGTTGATGATAATGTCCACTACACCACAAGAAAGAGCAGAATTTGGCCTCATTCGCAAAAGACGATGAAGATCTACAAACGACCGCGGGAGATGAGTACCATTTGCCGCAATGGCGGGAGAGGATCACAATGCCTCACGAGGGATTATCAGAATTTTATCGTGATCACACAAGAAGATGATAATGTCCACATGACCCCGGGAAAAGATTAAAACTTTGCTTCATTCGCGGTAGACGGTGATAATCTCCTCACGACCGCGGGATGTGTTCTTATATTGTCGCGATCAAGAAGACGACAATTATGCTGTCCACACGTCCGCCGAAAATAGTCAGAATTTTGCCGCAATTGCGGGAGACTGTTAAGATGTCTACACGGCCGCGAGGGATTATCAGTTTACCGCGATCGCATGCAAATACAGCCACCATTTTTGTTACTTTCCAATTTTTTGGCGCCCCCCAAAAATGACAATTGCCTCACGCCCTAGGCACGTGCCTACCGTGCCTATTCGGTAAATCGGCCCTGCTTTCTAGAAAAAAATAAAAAAAACTCAAAAAATTGAAAAAAGCCAATAAAATCTTTTTAAGTTTGTATAACTCCGAAAAAACTTACCTGAGACCCGAAAAATCTTTATGTTTGTATAGAGGTGTGCTTCTTTTGTGTATAAAACATTGAAATATGACGATATTTTAATTTTTGAAATTTTTATGATAGAAATCATAAACGTGATGGTCAGGGACAAGCGGTACGGTCGTGAATTTTCTGAAATAATCTAAATCTTTCTAAACAATCCTTCAATTATACTGTTAGTTATAATAAAAATAAGTGTTACAATTGAACTAAACTGTTCAAATTACAATTATATTAAAGTTATTGTCACGACCAAACACACTACTATAATCCATAAGGCTGGATTGGTCGTGAAAAAACCCGCGATGGTCGTGAAACTTTGGTCGTGAAATTAGGTGTTATTTGGCTCTGTTCTGGCGGTAGCCCTGCACCTCATGTTTGAGGATACAAAGTGGACTTCTAGGTTAATCTAGCAACTGAAATATCTTATAAACGAAAATTAACACCATGTCTACTTCATCGAATGACTACGTACGGTCATGGACACACCAAAATTACAAAAAACACAATCTTTCCTTTAATTCCTCCTTTCAACTCGAAACGACTGGCACCACAATCCTGACGTACACCCCGAACTAGTCTCTAAAACCAACTGACTCCATCGACGCCAGGCTTGTCACTGTCGTGCTCCAAAGTTGAAAATTTTTTCCAAATGGTCGTGACGCCAAATTCGAGGGACAGACTTATTTTGTCATGGTAGTCAGTTTGCAATGACAATAAAATTATAATATGCTCCTTTTTTGTAAGTTTAATAACTATTGATGACATAAAAATGGCTTTATATATTTCGGCATGAATAGTTAGTCTAAAAACAGCGTGAAAGTTGGAAAATGTACCCTAGGGACACGTCATGGTCGTGAATTTCGAGACTTTAAACATACGTAAAAAATACCTAGAACCTATTTAAAACCAAATAAATGTGTGTAACATGTTGCCCCCGTCCCAAAAAATATTAAAACACATAATAATAAACTACAAATCCAGTATCTACGAAGTAAAAGGCCAGGGACATGAAAACGTACGTTTTTAAAATTTCACTCAAGTATGTTGTATGCTGTATGTTGGTATTGTCAATCAATCGGACAAATGTTTACGGCAAAATTTGAGTGGAGATTCTTAGGCTGTGTGAAATATCTCTAGCCCTGCTAACTATTTAAGAGCTCTTGGAGCCTAGCGGCCATCTTGGATAATTTCAAACAGTTACTGAAGAGTTAATTATCATCCAAAAATAGTGTTTTAAACACCAAAATGATTATGATGTAAATATATCTAGTATACTGTGGGATTAGAAATGCTATTTGTTGTTTTGAATGTATTTCCAAGGGAGTCCATGGACGCCAATGGCCATTGGATTTGACCCCATAAGATTATTGTTTAGTTTGTTAATTGTTAGTTTTGTTATTTTCAAACAGCCGATGAAGGGTTATTTACAACTTCAAAATATTTGTTCGAATATCGTACCACCCAGACAGCACACTTTATCCCAGGGACATCCCATAGTAGTCCCATATGTCCTGAGAATGTCTCGGGATATGTGCGCTATCCTCAGGATATCCCGCAAAATCCCGGGACGAGTACGAAATCCACAGGATATCCTACAATATACCGTAATGTCCCAGGATTTGTAAGTTAACCTCAGGATATCCTGTAAAGTCCCGGGATATGTACGAATGCCATAGGATATCCCAGAATGTCCCATGACATCCCGGGACATGTACAAAATCCACTGGATATCCTGTAATGTCCCGTAATGTCCCGGTAACAAACTGAAGAAAAAAAATACTACCACTGATGAAATGTACAGTATATCTAAATTTAAATGTTCAACAAGGCCAATATATAATAATTTGTTTTTTTCACTAGTGCTTTCAGAAACTTGGTTTCCATCTTCAGGCTGTGTTTACACTAGTACAAAAAGTAAATATTTACTCAATAAATTAATTTTAAACAAAGTTAAAACAGATGATTTAAAGGATATTGGAAAAATAAAAAATAATATTAGAAAAATTAATCTTTTGAATTTTGGATATGTTACAGTGTTGTTCTTGATGTAATTATTTTCAGTAATTCCGAATTTATAATTGGGCCGTCTTCATTATTTAACAAATATTTTTGGTCTGTTTTTTTTTTCTAAAAATAAGATTCCCACGCATTAAGATGTTGAGGTTTTATAATTTATTTTAAAAGTTTAAGGTTTCCCAGATTGAAAATATGTCTTGTTAATACTATGGCTAGCAAGGGTTGACTTTACTTTACTGACATATTACTACCACTGAGTTCAGGAAAACAAGAGTTCTATCATAGTTGTGTGGAATGTGAATTTAATTCTAACTTTAAATTAATAAAACAACAAAAAACTAATTTTAATCATATAACAATCAATTATTACAGTGCTAATCTAATGGTGATTAAATAATCTATATTCAAATACCAGTATCCTCTCCAACTACCAGAAAAACAATTCAACTACTTGAGGCCTAAACAGATTAACAGAATCATATATAGCCTATACTGTAGTATCAAAAATATTTTAAGTATTGCGACCATTGCAACTGTCGGCTACTCTTTAACCATTTGAAAACACCTGTAATCAACAAGCGCAGATAGCTCAGGAGGTAAGGTAAGGGGCTCACAAGGCGAAGATACCAGGTTCGAAACCCGTCTGGGCCAAAAACTTTTTTCTCGTTTTTTTCTTCAAAATTTGTGTTTATTAACTATTTAATCAATTTACTAAACTTATAATTAAGCTTTTCATACTAAATCTATATTATTTTGTGTTTTTTATGTTCAGGCCCAGACCACACTTTATCCCAGGGACATCCCATAGTAGTCCCATATGTCCTGAGAATGTCCTGAGGACTACCCTGGGATGACCTCGGATGTCCCATGGATATGCGTGTGAGCTTATCCGTAGGACATCCCCGGGCGGGGACATTAGGCATTCCTGTGGATATCCTGTGATATCCCAAGTTGACTATAGGACCACTATGGGATATCTTGCATATCCTGTCGCAATATCCGTGGGATGTCCTGAGAAGAAAGTGTGCTGTCTGGGCAAAAAAGTGATTCAAATTTAAATATCTAGTATACTGTGAGATTATAAATTTGCTTTGTAGTTTTTTAATTGCTTTATGAGTAAGAACGTCTAGGCACCAAGTACTCTTAAAAGCTCATGAATGAGGGCATTGCTTGGTTTTGGACCATTAAATGGCTACTGATTTTGACTTTACCAAGGACCGTACTGATTAGTAACCAATTTACTTATATGAAAAAAAACAATAAAAAAACAAACACTAAGTTCTACTGTACTGATAAATTAACTGATAATCTTTGTATGCAATACGGTATGCGGTTTTAATTTGGTTTCTCTCAAAGATTAAAAATCTTTTATCTGTGATAACTAAATAGTTGATAAAACTATGAAATTTAACTCAAGTAAATTTAGACTAAAATTTCACAAAAATTGATTACTTATAATTATAATTATTATAATAGGGCGATTGTACATACATTATAAAATTCAATTTCACTCATTTTGTACTACGCCACATTTATTGATTGTAATTTGCATCTAATAATTATCATTTTAGCACTCACAGATCTATTTTTATCTTAAATTGCAAACTTGAGCCAATTCGCACTTGAAAAAAGAATTCAATAATTCATTATTTTAAATGATGTGAGTCATGAAATAACTCTCTTTCCAAAAATACTAGTCGACTTCAAATAATACGGGTGTAGAGAGGTTGTTAGAAAATGGCAAGTATTTACCAGTGTAATTTACAAGAGTAAAACTTTATGAAACACATTGCTGTCTACACTAGTAAAAACCACTAGTAATACTAGTCTCTACACTAGTAACTAGTATTTTACACTAGTAGATTTTTGAAACGTAGACTTGTAAAATACACTAGTATTACTAGTCCATGGACTAGTAAATACTAGACTAGTAGTTTTATGAAACAGGGCCCAACTGTCACCATTTTTTTTTTTTTTTATAAAAAGAGAAAATAGTTGCAGAAGCCAGTCACTGAATGTAACACTCTATTTTCTACCTTATTTTTTGTTGCTGACATTTAGTTGATGGGTAATAACAGTTGTTATAGCTCACTATAAAAAAATAATTTTGGTAATCTATATTCCATTCGAAAAAGATACCTTGTGCATACACCGTGTACGCCACACACTTCTTCAGTTTAGTTACATTAATTTCTGAAAAATAAAATTAAAAACAATGAGTGAAATGTTATTAACAAGTTAAAACTCTTGTATGATAAAATAGTCACAAAATAGCATGAAATAAAAATGTTATATCGTGGTAATAGTAGTAGTAGTACTTCATACCTAGAACCATCCTAAGCCTGTTTGGTTTTTGATGTAAGACTACATCTCTGGGTTTTCGTCTAAATGTAGTGAGAAAGATAGAATTCAGGATCACACTGAACTTTTGTGAAGCTTCAAAATACAGTGATTTCTAGTCAAATGATAAAGATGGTGACTCACTCTTTGTTATAGCCTGATTTGGGTTTGATTTGTTGAATTAGTTAAATAACAACATTCAAAACTTCACAAACCACAGGTCATATTTAACAATAAAACTTTATATATAAAAAAAATTTTACTAGTAGATTATTCCTCATTTTCATTCAATATATTATCTTCTTTAAGTTAATTCACACCTACTATGCCAATAACACAATCCAAACTACAGACAAAACATTTTACTTTCATAAAACATTATTGAACATGACAGACAAACAGATAGTTTTCACATAATATTAGAAAATGTACTAATATATAATTCTTTAATTTCGCTTACTTAATTCGTAGGGTTTAACTCCTTCAGAAATGATGACATCTCCAAGAGAAATAGTTTTCCCATCAGGATCCCTTATTTCCCAGGTAATGTTTGTCTTTGGAGGCTGGCCTGTGTTCCGGTCAATGACCCTAAGTCTTACAGGCACGTTTGGGTCTGGCGTAACCAAACAGTTCTCCAAGCACCTGACACAAATAAATGTCCACAATCAAATGGTTGATTCTTCAGAAAATATTTTGTTCCAATTTACGCAAGCAGTTTTTTTTTTCACAATCATAACTAGATAACAGCTTGAAGGATTTTAACGTTTGAGGTGTCAAATTAAAGGCATTTTCATGCAGAATATTATAAAAGGGCATAACTTAACATATGAACGTAGTTTGAAATAATTGTTTTAAGGTTAACCACATACTGCAGGACTACTTCCAGAGCAAAGCCGGAATTTATATTTTTATTTTAACATCTATTAGATAGGTCTGGTTCATACAAAATAAAGAGTTTCCTAGCAAGACTTGACAACAAATTGTTTGTAATAGTTGAATTGATTTACCTTAATCGTATTTTACTGAATTATCATGTAGTTTTGGTTACAGTTTGGTGTGATAAAGTGAATGTTTAGTAATTTACAATGTGTGTACAATGTGTAGTGTTTTCTGTTGTTTGGTTAACTTTTGTATTTTATTTAAATTTTAAATAATTTTTTTTCTGTGAGTGGCTGAAGGGAACGCGAACGTGGCCACTTGCATCAACCTTCCAATGGAACATTGAACAGGGTGACAGTACCGCCAGGTGATACATCGCTGTAACTGCTGGCCACAGTGACGAAATAAAAATTTAAATTTTTCAATGATTTTTAGTAATGTAACAACAATAATTACTATTAGGCCAGTAAAATTAGTTCAAAAATTGGCTGTGCCTGGAAATAATTCTCGGAAAGCTGGAAATCGTTTTAATCCTTTTGTTTTTTATAGAAGTAAAAGGATTTGAAGTTTGTCCCATTTTTCTAGGTGAGCTTCTGACCTGGGACCACAAAAACCTTGAAATTTAGGGTTATTTTTTAGTTTTTACTAAAACGTCAAAGAACCATCCAGCCTACAGAAAAACACATTGAAAAGGAATTGTAGAGCATAAAATCCCGCATCCATTGATTATGTGGTGATGAATATCGAACCAATATTAAGCTATTTATAGTCATTTAAATAAAGTTATTTTATTAAGAAATTATTGAACGTTGCATACATTTATATTTCTTCTAGAAAATTGATTCCAAGTAACCAACACCGCAAAAAGATGCAATAAGAACACATAATATTTGTTTATAATAATTAACGATACATTCAGCCATCGCAGAAGACGATGATGATCTCCAAAAAACTGCAGGACATGATTAAAATTTTGCCGCAATCGCTGGAGACGATTACCATGGATTCACGACTGCGGGATACGTACGATATCTAAAGGACCGCGGGAGATATAATAACTATATAACTATATAAGAATATGCCTTTTCTTAATTTGTATTTACAAAGTAATTAATACGAATTACAAATACCCTCGCCGCAGCAAACCTGCAGACTAAGTGATTTTTCCATCTACCTGGCTGGATTTACACTAAAGTATTCCCTAAAAATTGTCAGATATATTTCCTATTTAATTAACATTAATTTTAGTGATTACTTAGGTTTGCTGCTACAGGGAAGATATTGAGATGTGTTTTTTTATTGCAATGTCGATAGCCTAGCATTAAATAAACAAAATTTCCAAATGTTGTTTAAATATATCCATAAACAAGCAAACTTCAACAGTTTATTTATTCTCCATAAAAATAACATGGGAATTTAAATTTACAATTTTTTTAAATTATCCCCGTAACCGTTGGGTATACAACAACGCTCTACAAAATGTCAATCACAGCGCTGGAACAGAGAACTTTAAAAACATGCATCGTACATTTTACTCCATTCTTCTGATAAGTGCAACCACTTTAACACCCTTTAGCACACTTACATGAGATATTGTTTAGAAGATCAGGTGGTGCAGCTTCAACATTTGTTGGGATTTGGAAGTATCCCACGCTTAGATGACTTCCAGCCCCAATCAGTAAGCAATTTCACCCATCAAATGCACGTAGAAACAGGATATTACTTTTAAAGGTCGAAGAATATTTGAATTTCACTGGGAAATAAAACGTACCTATTGCTGGACTTCCCTTTCCGGGTTTCAAGAGGTGAAGGAATATAGTGGCTGATTTGGGAACAAATGCAGTTAAGAGCACACATAGGTCAATATCTTCCCCCACGATTATAACACTGACTGCTGAGCTAGTTAGATGGTTTGCATGACGATAGTAGTATCCATTCGTCCCATTTACCTTCTAAAAGATTAACCTGTAATGAAGCGCTAGTCCCTTGCCAATTTTCAATTACATTCATTTGAATGTTTTCTCAAATTACAAAACCAAAATCTCAACCTCTCCGAGTATTGGGATCATCACACGTACCGTCTCGGGTGTGTACGATCCATGTTCGTGTGTGGTTTGTAGATTCGAAATTTGATTGAGCCTGCGCTATGTCAAATACGACTAATCCATCTTTCAGGATTAGAAGTGTGCTCTGTTGTTTCGACTTTGTTTAGTCTCTTCAGTCATGGATAGGTCCGAAGACCACCATGAGACAACAGTAAGTGTGATTTGCGTGGAACGTGTTCATTACGAATTTCCAACATTCACTGGGCAGTACGAGCGTTCGACTCGCTTTTACAAACTCTGTGTGTCAGTGGAAGAATTTAGCAATCCACAATGTCAAGAGTGCTCTACTTTTCAAGATTTCACAGAGACTATGTACATTAATTAATTAATTATACCTCAATTAAGTTTAAAAATGACTTTGATTAGTCATATCAAAATTCAGAAATGTCTACTAGAGACAGCTGAAGTTGGATTCCAGATTTCAGGAACCAATCAGCAAGCGATGACAGATTTCAGTCATCCAAAGGCACTGGACGTGAAAACAAATAAACATCAAAATTTATGGATATATTTAAACGAAATTTTAAAACTTTGTTTATTTAATACTAAGCTATCGACATTGCTATAAAAAAACACATCTCAATATCTTCCCTGTAGCAGCAAACCTAAGTAATCACTAAAATTAATGTTAGTTAAATAGGAAATATATCTGACAATTTTTAGGGAATATTTTATATAAATATTTTGTATAAATGGAAAACTCACTTAGTCTGCAGGTTTGCTGCGGCGAGGGTATTTGTAATTCATATTAATTACTTTGTAAATAATAATGTACTTGGAATCCATTTTCTAGAAGAAATATAAATGTATGCAACGTTCAATAATTTCTTAATAAAATAACTTTATTTAAATTACTATAAATAGCTTAATATTGGTTCGATATTCATCACCATGGTACTGCTACTTTTCCTTAGAACCGGTGGTAGCAGTAAGAATCATTTTTACGTACAAACACATCACTAATTAACAACTATAGTTATCGTTAGTGCTGTACCTTATTTCTCATTAAATTTAATTGATGTCTTACAGTATAATTTTAGCGTTTTCTGTCTGGACTTCAAAATGTTAGTTTATGCTATAAAAATGATAAAACATTAGTGAAAGATTTTTTTAGCTAACCATCATGAATTTTTAAGGCTTGGCGTTGTCAACGTATAAATGTTTTGTGGGCTATGTATTTATTGACTTATTCATATATTTGCCAACGGATTTACAACAATTTTACAGTTAGATTAGGCCTAAAAACGATTATCAAAAAATTTGATGACACCATAAAAACTTGCAAATAATTATTTTGTTTGTAATTTACTTTGGTTAAAGCGTAGCACATCCTTAATAAGAATAAGAATAAGAAAGTTTATTACCGTTGACCAGGTCTTATACAGGAATAGGCATTGTCAAATTACTTTAAACAAAATGTTGTAATCCTTAATACTTAATCCGTAATGTGTATTCAATTCTGTATTTGTGTGTGTATGTCTGTTGGTTATTAACGCATTAATATCCTTATTTCTCAGTGTTTCGTGGAAAAGACAAGAGCACCTTTGGTAATGAAAATTTCAACCCGAATAAAGTGTGCAGTAGTGAGGTTGAGGTAGTATTTTAACTAGTTTTAACCAGTGTGAAAAGTTACTTTCAATTACAGGCCTACCTTAGGGCTATGCCTCATAGATCTATAAAGCAATTTCTTTTATCATTAGATATAAAATATGGACTAACACGATCGGGTGACATTTAATTGCGAAGCATTCGTTTTGGCTTTGAAACTGTCAGATGTTGTATTTGCGAAGGTTTATATGTATTCATGTACAGTAACAGTTTTGCCAGCATATCTGGAAAATTGCACACTAAATATGCAAACCAACTCCTGTTCTGAATATTAGGTTTCAACTTACTACAAGATTCCCGTACGTAGAACGGGCAAACAGCTAGTTTAGTTTATTTCCTTAATTTCTGTGATCGACAACACCTAAAGCTTTCAAAAAGAAGTGGTCCAAACTGTTCAAATGTATGTGCCAGGAATTTAACCTGCCCGCTTGCACTGAATTATGGGAATGCCGATCAATCGGTTATCAGAAAATCAGCACACTTTATTTTATGACAAAAAACAAGGGCTGTTCAGAAAGTAAGGTGCAACCACTAAACACACTTTCACGTTCAGATGTGTTCACAGAGATGTGGTCGCGGCGCCCTTTGAAGCAATAGTCAAGTTCAAAATGTGTGCTGCGATTGAATAGTTTGAGGTGCAGTCTTTAAAATCTATGGAAATTTATCATCAAGTGTGTGAAATGTGCACGGACACCAAGTTGTGAATAAAAGGTCTGTCCAGGAATGGTGCATTCAGTAATCTCCAATGGTCTAAAACTATAAAAGCTCCTACGTTTCCTAACCTTTTTGGTGATCTGTAAACATTTTCTGCACCCATATTGCAGGTAATTTGATTTAGCCTTGCTGTTGTGAGACAAAGTCTGTACAACCTGGGGGAAACAAAGCGAAAGATCCTTGATGGTTAAACCGATGTTTTTATGAATCTCCTTAGCAACTTTAGCATCCAGTTCATCATCAGTGACAAAGGTCTCACTCTCTTTTTCGTCATGAAAGTCGTTTAGACCATTTTTAAACCAAACAGATTATACTTAAAAAATAACATCATAGCATAGCCTCATCAGAGAGAAACGTTTCTTTCTGAATTGTCTTATTATTAATAAAATACCAAAGATGGAGAACAACTGGGTCCAGTTTCAAACAATCAGAAAGATATTGACTGTTTTCAGGATCAAACCACAACTTTTTGATTCTCCCTTGTATGTTATTATACACTTACGAGATTATCAAGTCTGGTTTATGTTCCGGCTTCTTTTTCTCTTTGCACACCACTGTTACACATTTTCTACCAACTTGTTCATTTTCTACCTCCCAAATTGCACATATTTCATATTTTCCTTCAACAAATTTTGTGTTATCCAAATATGTTTCTGAAAAAAAATTGTACTCATGAAATTAAAAATTTTAACACAACAGGTACGTAGGTAGGTTGGTTAAAAGGTAAAAAAATTGTGTACATGTAAAGTTTTTTAACGTATATTTTAAATTTTTTACAAGATTAAAGTTTTGTTTTGACCACAATGGAATAAGTAGAAGTGTTGTTCACATATCTTGTAGTATACTAAGTAACCTATTCAAATTAGTTAAACAAACATAGTGTTTTGAGTTAAATACAGACCCTACAGCTTGTTTTGAGTTAATATATCCCTACAGGATGCAGTTTTACAGACAACATTGTGTGAAAAACTCACAAGTGTTTGAGATTTTTTTAAATCTGGGAATTAATTGAAATTTTTAAGATATTTGTTTTTCCCCTTTATACCCTAACAAAAGACAAGCCCGTTTTTGACCCTGTCAGCGCCCTAGGTTGGTTGCACGTCTAATAGTAGCGCCCCTTTGCAATATATATATAACAGGGTGTACACCGACCGGGAAATCCGGGAATCATGCGGGAGATCTTTGAACCGTGAATTTTGATTTCTACCTGGAGATTTCAATTTACCGTAATCGCTCATGACAACAGTGACGTTTCCGTGATCGCGCATCACAACAGTGACGTTTCCGTGACCGCGGGAGACAATAATAAATGTCTACACACGGCCGCTAGGGATGATCAGAATTTTCCGCGATCGCAGAAGACAATGATGGTATCTACTATCTACAGAGCCGCAACGGATGATCAGAATATTACCACAATCACGGAAGACGATTGATGTCCACACGACCGCGGGAAACCTCTAGAACTTTGCCGCGATCGCGGAAGACGATGATCTCCATAAAACTTCAGGACATGATTAAAATTTTGCCGCAATCGCTGGAGGCGATTACCATGGATTCACGACTGCAGGATACGTACGATATCTACAGGACCGCGGGAGATATAATAACTACTGTATTTCTACACGGCCACGAGGGATGATCAGAATATTGCCGCGATCACGGAAGACGATGATAATGTCCAAATGACCGCAGGAAAAGATCAGAATTTTGCCTCATTCGCCGAAGACGATTATCTCCATATGTCCGAGGGAGATGATTACCATTTTGTGGGAGGCGACTACTATGTCCAAACGACCGACGGGGACGATATGATGTCTTCACGGCCGCGGGGGTGGTCAGAATTTGACCGCGATCGCGCAAGACGAGGATAATGTCCTCACGACCGCGGGAAAATATCAGAATTTTGCCTCATTTGCAGTAGATGATAATAATCTCCTCACGACTGCGGGATACGTTCTTATATTGCCTCGATCATGGAAAATAAAGACGATAATTTTATGTCCAAACGACCTGACTGCAGAGAATAGTAAGAATCTTGCCGCAAATGCGGGAGACGATTACCATGCCTACACGGCCGCGAGTGGTTATCAGAAGTTTACCGCGATATCATGCAAATACTACCACGATTTTTTTTTTAATTTCCAAATTTTTGGCGCCCCCCAAAAAAGCCAATTGCCTCGCGCCCTAGGCACGTGCCTACCGTGCCTATTCGGTAAATCGGCCCTGACAAAAGATAAACAATAGTAACCCTGGACACTGTTAGACATTATATCCCATACAAACTACTAATAACCCATTTTAGCACTGCTTCTTAGCTAGTTTTAACTGAATCACTTTATAACAAACAAATTAATTTTCAAATTCTAAATGTAAAAAATTATTAAACCCATTTTCTTCATTGTAAGTTACGATGGTTTTAAAGCACAATGGATAAACATTATTTTAATTGTTACGCCCCATTGAAGTGACCTAATTTTCTTTTGATGGCTCATCTACAGACCAAGACCTACGCCTCTGCCAGTTTCTACGCCCATCCGTTCTCTCAAATTAGTTGCCACAAAAAAACCAACAAATTTCACATTTAAGAAATACATAGATACTTTTAAAAATACTTTTTTGTATAGCAAAACTCAAACACAATGCACATGAAATACCACTTTTTATAAATGACTAGTGGCCTGTAGGGGCCATCGCCCCTAATTTAGACACAATTGTACATATGAAGGAAACTCCCCATTTCGCGGTAGTAAGTCAGAAATATATCTATGAATTTGTCCCTGAATTTTAAACCAGTAAGGCCAATTTCCTGGAATCTCTTTTTGTGTAGTGGAAAGCAACGCAAAAGCCATTGCACTGTTGTATTGCCTTATGTTTTTTATGAAGTTAGAATCATGTGAAAACATTTCTTTTAGTTTGTCATTTAATCGTGGTTGTGCAATGTTAATGAGTCCATTGTGGCAACATGCGTTGAAATGTCCATTTGTGGCATCCTCTGTGCTGTTAAGAGGACCTAAATTAATTGTGAGAAACAACACTCAACTCATTTTCCAGCATTCTTGTGAAGGCAGGTTTGTAAACCAGCTTGAGGATTTCTTTCATAGTTAGGCTTTACATGACAATCTCTTTCAGCATTTCTTGTGTCAGTTGAATTCCTGGATACTCTTCAACGTCTTGCAGGTCTTCCCCTACCCTGTCTAGTTACTTCACCCATTATAAAAACGGAGAACAAAAAATTTTACAAATTCATTTCATTTTTAAACATTACTAGCTGTAACCCGCGGGCTTTGCCCCGTTTAACTTCTTAATTTTCAAGATGATCTTGTTCGCATGGCTCAATCACGTCCTGGTTGAAGTTCGTTCGCTACGCTCGATCACCTTTAGGTTGGAGCTCGTTTGCTACACTCACTCACCTTTAGGTTGGAGCTCGTTCGCTACGCTCACTCACCTTAAGGTTGGAGCTCGTTCGCTACGCTCACTCACCTTAAGGTTGCAGCTCGTTCGCTACGCTCACTTGCCTTCAGGTTAGCTCGTTCACTACGCTAACTCGCCTCCAGGTTGAAGTTCGTTCGCTATGCTCACTCACCTTTTGGTTGCAAATTAAATGTTGTCATAAATGTAAAAGAAATAATAGTGCTGCACCATGTTGGTAATCCTTGTAACTTTAATGCTATTGAACATCATAGAACAGAACCAACTTGTTTAATTGAAACAGCTGTTAAGATTCATTAATTCCATTTCTCATAAGGTTAACATGGGAAACTCCAGAGCCACTGGGGCGGAGCGGATCACGAAATTGATGGTGTATGAACCTATTCCATGATATTCTACACGTATGTACCAAGTTTCGTGGCAATCGGTTCAGCGGTGTCTGAGTTTATCACTCCCAAATATATATATATATACAAACATCCTCTTTTATACTTATAGATTTAACAACATTGACTTTCGGAATAAATGTAAACATTGCAAATAAATAAGTAACAGCTGATTAGAACGTAGACGTTTTTCAGTCCCCTTGCTTTTCTTATGGTGGATATTTTATGTTATATCTCGTTTTCTGGTAACTTTGGGAATTCTGCTATTTTTCCCGAGTCCCTGAGGTCAAGACCTTTAATTTAAGACCTCTCTCACTTTTCTGCAACTTACCAGACGTCCAAAATTTTCTGGAAAAAAAATTTTGTCTTACAGAATTATGTATAAGGATAGTAATAATAGTATAATTATTATTGAGAAATTAGTTTTTAAACCCAACTCACTATCATTCACAATCACGGTCGGTGGACAAGGTCCTTTCTCTATGACTTTGCATGTCCAAATCATTTTCCCTTCATTTGGGACGGCCGTTGTGTCAATGTTAACCATACACGCGTTGATAGTTTCATTCCCTTTGATTTTAAAATCTTTCTGTTTCTTGCCTAACAATGTAAAATAGCACTGAAACAAAAAAAAAATTTTTTGTAGGCTAAGTAATAATACTAAAAATAGTAAAAAACCAAATTCTGTGATGATAAAAAGGATTGCTAACTAGCAGTTAATTGAAATAGAAAATATGATTGAGAATATTTGTATGACTATTATGTTTTAAATTTATATCACTGTTAACAACGTACTGATGTTTTGCTTATAACAATACAGATCATATTGAAGTGTCTGGCAAATTTTATTCAAATAAAAGAGACACTACAAACTCCATTTTAATGTATAAAAAGTCTTCTAGTCTTGAGTTAGTCTGTGATCTAGATCCATTTTATATCATTTTGCCACTGTTTTTCAATTTTGCAGCCAAATTAAATTGTTAAGAACAAAATTGTTATTTATCCAGGGTGTCCATAAAAAAACGTTTCGAGACTTTGGGAAATGAATCATCATACTAAAAGGAAGAAAAGAGTTTATGTGAAGGTATGTCCAAAAATGCATATTTTCCCAGTTATTCGCCATTTTGTTTTTTATACAAAAATATTTTTACCTTGTGAAGTTTTTCATTCGATGATTATGGAATTTGGTAACCATGTTAACATACACAAGACCTATTATATAAAAAAAAATAAAGTTGTTCCGATTGTAAATTTCAAAATAGCGGCCGTTTGAATTCTTATAACTTAAAGTACTCAAAAACGGCTTATTCTATGAAAATATGTCAGGGATACTTTTTTTAGCAATTTTAATTTTCTATCAAACCATACCAAGATCAGACAAAAGATAAGTAAACTAGAACGGGTTTTTATCTGTAAGACGAGGCAAAATTAACGCTTCCCCGTCTAACTTTGTCTTATTTTTACACAAAAACCGTTATATTTCAGTTATATTATGTCTGATCTTTTTGATCTTGGTATTCTTTAATAGAGAATTAAAAATTCGAAAAAAAAAGTATACTGGACAATTTGTAATAGAATTAGCCGTTTTTAAGTTATTTAAGTTATAAAAATTCAAACGGCCATCATTTTGAAATTTACAATCATAAAAACTTTTTATTTTTTCTATAATATATCTTGTAGGTGTTAACATGGTTACCAAATTTCATAATCATCAAAAGAAAAACTTCACGATAAAAATAGTTTTGTATGAAAAACAAAATGGCGGATAACTGGGTAAATATGCATTTTCGGACATACCTTCACATAATAGGACACTTCACATAAACTTTTTTCTTCCTTTTAGTATGAGGATTCATTTCCCAAAGTCCCGAAACGTTTTTTATTGACACCCTGTAAATGTGTTTGTATTTGTTTGTTGAATTGCTTAGAGTTCACTTATAGAATCAACAACTTATACTTTTGAAATTTATGGTGTTTTGTTTTATCACTTAGGACCACATTACTTTCTGGTGGTATTAAAACAATAATCTCTAGGTTACAAAGCTATATAGTTTGAATCAAATTAAATAAAATTTCCAAATTTTTCTACTAGGTATAGTAGGCCTAAGGTCTTCATTAACCTCGTCAATCTAAATGCGCTAATCCCTAAAGGACCAAAGGCAAAAATAACAAAAACCACTCACGTACCGCCCGTTATATAGATTTTCTCTCCAATCACAATTAATTGTACTACTGTGCGGTTTAAATTGCAGTGTACTACAACAATTTACTATGGTTTATTCATACAACATCTGAAGTTTTTACACCAGAAGTCTCATATTAAATTCTGCATTATGCTAGTTTCAATAATCCAAACAAGTTTAAATAGTTACCCTTAAATCAGAAGGACTTTACTTCAGGCACATACTTACATAGTAGTTATACAGGGCGTCGTCCCTATATTTTGGTATTACATCGCCGGTTTGCAGGTAGGACTGTATAGTCAGCCGTAAAACATAATCTGCTGAACCCATCTTGTTAAACTTGGGCTCGCAAACGTTGTTGATAAAATCGTTATCTGCTTGTTTTTCAGTACATACATTCGGCATTTCAAGTTTCTTACTCTTCTCTACACTGTCAGTCATCGTGTATAATCCATCAACTGTAATATTTAATAAAAATATATTAATTTTTTACAATTACAATGCCATACCTACCTAAGATTAAATATGTTCAACAAGCTGCCAAATGTCTGCCAAAACATGTCTGTAACTGTTTTTAGTAAAAAGCTCCATAAATGGCTTTTAAACAACCCTTTTTATAAAGTTAGTGAATTTTTTTATACTTGCCCACATGAGACTGATTTTATGTAGTTTAACTAAATGTTGTGTATGCACAGGTATTGTAAATGTTTTTTTCCTCCAGTCACCCGACAAAGTTGGCTTCCTTGTACTGTTTATAGTACAGAAAGCTGCTAATTGCTGCATATTTATACTTAGCCGTACGGTTTATACTTTGTCGTACGGTTTATACTTTGCCGCACATCAGGATTCCAACGAAACAACACAAAACAGCGTGGTTCTATTATGCACGTACTCCGTGTACGCTTGGAAATAGGTTGGCAACACTTAAAGATAATAATACTATGAGCAGCTGATTGACTATTTTAACTACAATTTAAACTGTCATTTCGGGTTTATAGTTTCGGTATTTCTGAGCTTTCTGGACTTTTCTTTTAAACGTATTTAAAACATTCCTACGATCTTAATAAACAAGAAAATACCTTTAAAGCATTTTTTTAGGCGCAGAAACCACTTCAAATTACAAAAACATACGGAACTATATTCTCAAAACGTCAAAACGCGGAGCAAATTTCTTGCCAAGGAAAAATAGCGGAGTGATACGGACCAGGTACTACTTTCTCTAGGGCACCTATTTGTGTTGCCAGCTGAACCTAAAAACGTGTTGTATAGTGTTTGAAAGACTAATTATTTATATGCTTTATAGTGACTGTAGGAAAAATATAATGTGTAACACGAGTGCAAAAGGCCTTTGCTGCACTCGAGATCATTCCACACTCGCCTGCGGCTCGTGTGTAAACATTGCTCTCGTGTGCAGCAAAGTGCCACTTTACCCACTAGTTACACAAATAACTATTCTACGTAGGCCTACTATGTCAGATGTGTTTTTACATTTTACATTTTCCTATTGTTAGAAGGTTAGTAGTCTTGTAAATAAAACGTGACAATGTCTATTGCTAATTTGTAATGTGCTGAATGACTGAATAAATGCCTTATTAACTTAAATAATACGGCTTTAGAAGAAGGGTTGGAAAAGTAAGACTTGGGATGGTTTGAACATGTGAGAAGTATATCAGAAGAATGTGTAGAGCAATAGAGTTGATGGTGATGGAAGGAAGGTTACAGAGAGGAATGGCGGACAGATCAGGTAAACGGGGATATGGTAAAGAGAATAGGGAGATAACAGGTGGAGAAAGAGAAACTGTGAAGAGATATGAGAATATAGAGAGGCCTAGACAATTTCCAGACCTAAAAATAACTAAAATTGAAAATGTGTACTATAAACTTAATATGTATTTGTCGGGTGTGAAACCAATTTATCAAGAAGCTATTCTTATCAACTGATGAGTAATTATGACTGTCATGACATACAGCTTGAACCTGAAAGTTATCTTGGTGCTGCCGTGCTGCTCTTACAAAATGATGCAAGCAACAATCATACAGTACTTGTAAGGTAAGAGAATCTTTATCTACTGTATTTTAAAACAATAAATTTTAGTGAATTTCCCTATAGGGAAGTAGCTATTACTGTTGGTCTTGTGGTAAGACCTAGGTCCGGGACCGATCATCTATTTTTCATTTTGACGTCCTAAGGGGCCAAAAACACCATCCGTTTATAATGTGTTATACATGTGTGTGTGTGTGTCTGTAAACACAATAACTCAAATAATTTTTGTCCGATATTGATTAAATTTGGCTTGAAGGTGTAGGGCAGGATAAACTTGAATGAGTTCATGAACCAGCATGATTGGACCATGGGAACGGGGTTTTATGGGGTAAAAATTGGGTTTTCTAACTTTTGACCCTCAAAAGAGAGAAATAAAATTTCCCAATTTCTCTCTAGACCATTTTGAAGAGCTTAAAAAAACAAATAGTTAATAAACTATTTATAATGTTATTTATAACTATTTATATCTAAAATATAAAATTCTCGTGTCACAGTGTTTGTCTGCAAACTCCTCCGGAACGACTTCACCGATCGTTATGAAATTTGGTGTGTAAATTCTGTAGGTATGCGAATCGGACGTAAACTATTTCCCGTTTCGAAATTCTTAAAAGGGCTCCGCCCCAGTGGCTCTGGAGTTTCCCATGTTAACCTTATGAGAAATGGAATTAATGAATCTTAACAGCTGTTTCAATTAAACAAGTTGGTTCTGTTCTATGATGTTCAATGGCATTAAAGTTACAAGGATTACCAACAGGGTGCAGCACTATTATTTCTTTTACATTTATGACAACAGCTAATTTGCAACCAAAAGGTGAGTGAGCGTAGCGTACGAACTTCAACCTGGAGGCGAGTTAGCGTAGCGAACGAGCTAACCTGAAGGCAAGTGAGCGCAGCGAACGAGCTCCAACCTAAAGGTGAGTGAGCGTAGCGAACGAGCTCCAACCCAAAGGTGAGTGAGCGTAGCGAACGAACTTCAACCTGGAGGCGAGTTAGCGTAGCGAACGAGCTAACCTGAAGGCAAGTGAGCGCAGCGAACGAGCTCCAACCTAAAGGTGAGTGAGTGTAGCGAACGAGCTCCAACCCAAAGGTGAGTGAGCGTAGCGAACGAACTTCAACCAGGACGTGATTGAGCGATGCGAACGAGATCATCTTGAAAATTAAACGTAACGGTACTTTCTTTCCATCGGTCTGTCATAGGGGAAACCTATAACTTAGGCGATACGAAGTTCGCCGGGTCAGCTAGTGTATTTATATTTATATTAATATTAATATGTATTTATAATGTTAGCGATTTTTAAACGCTTATTGGTTACAGAAGAAGGTTGTAACGGAGAAAATTCAAAATATTGTTAATTTAAAATTCCCATGCTATTCTTAGGGGGAATATTGTTAACTGTTGTAGCTTGCTTGTTTATGGATATAGCTACTACAGTCAAAAAATTCCCAGAATGAATTTCTGTAGGTAGACATTTAGCGCGATCGCCAGGGGGAAATTTGCCTTGCAGTAGTTATTACGACTCCTGGGGAGGGTATATCAGTAGTTGGGGTATAGCTGATGAGCCGTAGTGCAGCATTGGTAAGAGCTTTTTGTGTACCTGCAAGTCTACTTTGTTGGTTCGGTCGTGTACACAAACTGTGAGTGGCACAAACTTGGTAGGGTAAAAGATAATTTGGTATAACACAATGTTTCAGTCACCAGTCACAATTTAGTTCAAAAAATTTGGATTTGCATTGGCCATATCAAAGAATTCACAAGCCATTAACATTTGAGTTTCTTTGTGCTTAGGACCAGGAGACAGCATTTTAGGGACAATTTACACTTACACTGTTGACTCACAAGACGGTAAATACACAAAAGATGGTATATTTGTTTTATACTAAGCCATTAAAATTTTGTTAAAAAAAATATTTTATAATCTTTCCTGTAGCAGCAAACCTAACCCTTTTCTGTCCTTGTGTCCTTTATAGGACAATACAAATATTTGTTGGGGAAATATCTAACTGAATTTCCATGTTAAGCATAGTATCTCTGGATTCCTATAAGATACCAAACTAAATTATAAACATGGAAAATACCACCAATACATTACGCAGCTTGCTTGGTGATTATTCAAACCACAGAGTCACACTCAGCTAAAATGCTGTTGGCCATCAAGTTAACTGAGTGAAAATTTAAAAACGTACGTTTTCAGGAAAAGCACTTTTAAAATTTATTGTTCCGTTTTTTGAAACTTTTTTTATTTTTTTAATTTCATTGACATTTGAAGTTTCATAAAATGTCCATGGTAACGCAATATCTTTGGTGATTTTTTATTAATAGAGCATTTTTGATGGAAAAACACGAAATTATGTCACGACCATCACGGACATCAAACTGAATATTAAAAATAGTTAATATTATTTGTGTAACTATGTTTTGCTATTAATTAATTTACTTTTATGACCATCATACAATAAACAGCTCACTAAGCTTTTGGTATATATGGTCTTTCTAGAAAAAAATAAAAAAACTCAAAAAGTTTGAAAAAAGCCAATAAAATCTTCTTAAGTTTGTATAACTCCGAAAAAACTTACCTGAGACCCGAAAAATCGTTATGTTTTTATAGAGGTGTACTTCTTTTGTGTATAAAACATTGAAATATGATGATATTTTAATTTTTGAAATTTTTATGATAGAAATCATCAACGTGATGGTCAGGGACAAGCGGTACGGTCGTGAATTGTCTGAAAAAATTAAATCTTTGTAAACAATCCTTCAACTATACTGTTAGTTATAGTAAAAATATGTGTTTCAATTGAACTAAACTGTTCAATTTACAATGATATTTAAGTTATTGTCACGACCAAACACAGTATAATCCATAAGGCTGGATTGGTCGTGAAAAAACCCGCGATGGTCGTGAAACTTTGGTCGGGACATTACGTGTTATTTGGCTCTGTTCTGGCGGTAGCCCTGCACCTCATGTTCGAGGATACAAAGTGGACTTCTAGGTTAATGTAGCAATATAAATATCATATCAAAAAAAATTAACCCCACGTCTACTTCATCAAATGACTATGTATGGTCATGGACACACCAAAATTACAAAAAACACAAAATTACCTTTCTTAATCTTGTAACTACTTCTTTCAACACAAAACAACCGGCACAACAAACTTGACGTACACCCCGAACTAGTCTCTAAAACGAACTGACGCAATCGACGCCAGGCTTGCCACTGTCGTGCTCCAAAGTTGAAAATTTTTCCCAAATGGTCGTGACGCCAAATCGAGGGACAGACTTATTTTGTCATGGTAGTCAGTTTGCAATGACACTAAAATTATAATATGCTCCTTTTTTGTAAGTTTAATAACTATTGATGACATAAAAATATGGCTTGATATATTTCGGCATAAATAATTAGTCTAAAAACA